GTGCACCAAGCCAACATGTGCGCGAGGCCGGCACCTGGTAAAAGCGTCCTTCATGAAACGCTGACAACTCCTGAACAGAACCTGTGCTGGTAGCCTTCTTTCTTGCACTTTGCTGCTCGGCTGGGTGCCTCATAACTTGCTCAATGCTGCTGCGTAAGGCTTCACAGCATAGGCTCAGCTTTAATCAGGAGTCTCCTGAAGCTTTCGCACATGCTTCAAGAGATGCTGTTTCATCCTGGCAGGAACACCGGAAGGCCTTGTCAGAAGCACCTGGGCAGAATCCCACGAGCCTGGAGACCAACCAACAATGTGATGCGTAAAGCCGTCAGCTCCACACGAAACATTGAAGTTCGTCAAATGCTTTAGGTGCGTGGTGTTCGAACTGCGTTCAATCAACTTCGAGATGGACAGCATGGCTACTTGGCAACAATATAGTCGAGACATGTCGAGACGAACACGCAACAAATTGCAGCGATCATGATACAAAAAGGGTTCAGTCAAACGTCCATCAGCACCGTTTTGGCCGACCTTTCAGTGTACATCATTTATTTTACTGTCCGTTGTGCAACCTTCTAGACCCAGCTGCTCGTTGCGTCGCCTGGCCAGGAAAGGCATGGCGAGAGGCCTGCTGCTTTGTATAGTACCTGCCAGGTACCAGAGGGGTGAAATTGTCTTCGGTGGCAGCCAAAAAAAGTCCACCGACACTAACAGGTTTGTCGTGATCATCCCTGCTTGTGGAATGCTTTGCCAAGCTGAGTGTGACTCCTCTCGAGCACCCGCATCTTTGCATGGAGGTCCCGCGGATGTCAATTGCAGAGGCAATGCTGGGCCGCTGGGATGTTAATGTTCAAATGCGGATTCAATAAAGATCAGTTGGAGAGGGAGTAGCCCGTGGACTCAGGCCAGAGCGCAGCGGAGTTTGACTTGGAAGAGGAGGTCGGCTCGAGCCGTAAGATGTGTCAGCCTGCATGCGAAGTGGCTATTATGCTACACGATCTTCCAGCTTGAAGCTCAATTTTTCAGAATACTGTGCGCGCTTTATGCTTGGAAAGCCCTTCTGCTTGCCAAATCTTGTCTTGGACTTGTTCGTACTGGCACTTCCATGTCATGGTCAGCCAGCCTTGCGACATTGAATGATCCATGTGTCCAGGTGCAGCGGATGTTTGGCAGCTCCGCAATTTCGGATCTACTGCGCGAAGGCTCATCAGAAAGGGACTCTTTAGGAAGACGACTGAGTCAAGTGCAAGCACTTGGACTAAGGCCAGTCCGAAATGTTGGCTTAAGCTTGAAATGGTGCTATGCTGCAGCCAGTTTTCTTATCACCTTCAGAAAAGCCTAGGAACAAAAGCCCTGCAATGGCAGAAGGCTCAAGTTCCCATTTCGGAACAAGCTTATTTGCTACAGGCGATGCAAGCAGCAGAAGCCCGTCATCAGGATCAGGATCGGTGTCTATTGCCATAAACGCTTGGCACTGTCAAGTTGAACAATCTTTAATTGACTCACCCGACTCCAGTCCATCGCGGTATTCTGCAGATGTCCGAGCACCAGACCGGAGCAGCGCATTGACTCCATCGCCCGGGCAGACCCTCACCTCTCGCTCTACAAATCCAAAGTCTCATAAAGGCCGAACTTGTGACCCTTGTCTCTTCTTTTTCTCACGTCGCGGTTGTTACAAGGGACCCGGTTGCCAGTATTGTCATCTACACACTTCGTCTGAGATCCGCCACACTCCACAAAGGCCCCGCAAGCAGACCAGAGACCTGCTTAAGGAGAACGCCAAACGCATCCTGACTCTGCATGAAGGGAATCCAGAGCCTTCTCCTGCTTTGGCAACCTTTTTCCGGTCTTTTTCCAACGCAGTTAGGGGGAGATGTAGCGATCCCTTGGGGTGGGATCTTGCGTCCCTGTTCCCTAAGCTGGCATCTCATCCTGAATCATAAGAACCAACCAGGGCAGATTTTGGAGTGCTAGGTATGATAGCCGTGAGGTGACTTGTTAAAATCCGGGGAAGCTTGTTTACTGAGGAGGACGGACAGGAACAACTCCAAAAGCTGGCGTCCAGGAGCATGTATGCGTGTAGCCTTCTCACAGGCCTGGGTTATTGTGTAAAGCTCTGCTTTAGCACAACATTTCCTGATCTGGCCGTTCCTTAGCCAGCTGCTTTATGCTGCTTCGCTTTGTGCTGGAATCCCGGAAGAGTTCGCTTACGCAGGATTCCTTAAGCTCTGGTACTTGTAGCAAGCAGGGCGGTGATGACGTAACAAAGTCGTCAAGGATAGTAGTCTGGCCAAGTGTTCAGCGTCCAAACACCCGTCATGCCGAGTGAAGGTAGGCTGTTCACGCCATATGTGCGGGCTGATGCACGCGGGAGTCCGCTAAGGGTGGGTGACTCTTTGATGTTAAAAGGTTAGATTTTGAACTTGCCTTTGGGGATGGGCAGGTTACCTGGACAGACTGGCCCAGCCGATCATCCCGGGCAAGGTGCCACGGTCATCAGCTGCGCGCTCAACAGCAAGGCCTGCAACCGTTGCCAGGCATACAAGACCTATGCATCCACGGGAGTGACCGCATGGCAGGATCTGCCGGCAGTTTCACAGCTTTTTGGCTCTGCTTTTGCTTTACTTAGTTACTTTCAGCGACTTACTTGGTTACTTTCAGCGACTGCACCCCGAGCGGAACGTCAGCCCATGTCAAGCTTTTTTCATTCAATTTGTTGATTAGGGCAGCCCGCTCGGCCACAAGGCCAGGCAGGACTGCCCTGAACTTTGTGCGATGCGCAGCCTGGGCCAGGCCTTGTAGAGAAGCTTCGCGATCCTTATTCCAAGTTGTGCCAGCCCAGCCCAGCTCAGAAGCAAGCATGGGAGCACACTAGCTGCGCCTGCACACGGTAATTAGAGTTTTGTGTTTTTTAGGCGACTGCTTCACAGCTGCAGTGGCCGGATACTCTTGCAAGACTCTTGCGAGTGAGGAGTTTGCCATAATAATCCCTTCCCCCTAATATTAAACGACGTCCCCCCCCTCCCCCCCGCCTAATATCAAATATTCCGGGCCCCGAGAAATTATTTGATATTAGGGGTGGAAATTAATTTATTGAAGGGACTAGATAAGGCTACCTTTAAACTCCGTTTAAGTTCCATGGAAACTGAATAATTAAGTTAATGAAGTTGAATTGATTACTTGGATCTTTCTTGAAATCGAATTAAGATACTTTTAATTGAAATTTAAGCAAGATTTCTGTTCAATCAATTGAAATTTGATTAAAATTCCTTTTTAAATCAACTGAAGTTTAATTAAAACTCCTTTCGAAGCCGAATGAAGTCGAATTAAAATCCCGCTAGAATCAATTGAAATCCAACTAAAATTCCTTTCACAACCAATTGAAATTTATTTAATTAAGATTCCTTTTAAAATCAATTGAAATCAAATTAAAATCCCGTTAGAATCAATTGAAATTTAATGAAAATTCTTTTCAAAATCAAATTGAAATTCAATGAAAATTACTTTTACAATCAATTGAAATTTGATTTAAACACTTGTTTGATTAGAATTCATTTCAAAATCAATTGAAATTTAATTAGAATTCAAGTCAAAATCAATTGAAATTTAATTAGAATTCCTTCAAAAAACATCAGTTGAAAGTTGATTTAAAAACCTCTTAAAATCAATTGAAATTTCATTTAAACTCCTTTTAGAACCGAATGAAATCGAATTGAAATCCTGTTAGAATCAATTGAAATTTGTTTAAAATCCTTTCGAACATCACTTGAAATTTAAGTAAAATTCCGTTTAACATCAATTGTAATTTGATTAAAGTTCCTTTTAAAATCAATTGAAATCGAATTTAAAATCCATTTAGAATCAATTGAAATCGAATGAAACTCAATTGAGATTTAATTAAATACGGCAAAAATTGTAATACAATCAATTAAAATCGCTTCAGTTCTTGTATCTAAAATCCTTTATTAAAAACATATGAAAAACAATCAAAACCTAGGAAATGAAGGTGATCCCTAATTCTTTTGTATTTCTTCTTGTGCCCCCTAATGACCTCAGAACCCCCCCTAATTCATTATTAGGTGGCCCTTTTAAAAGTAGTCTTCCCCTTTTAAAAGTAGCCTTCTGGATTTTTAGGCCTCTGAATTTATTGTTTAATGTTAGGGGGATTTAATATTAAGGGGAAGGGATTACGCAAGATGGACATGCCATGAAGAGTGCACCTAACCAGGTGCAGATGGAGAATATCAAGACGCATCGCAGAAAATGGAAGGGTGGCCAGGGATTTGACAAGAATCCCCCGGGTTGTGCTAAACCCCAAGAAACTCACACATGAGAAAGCCTCAGGCCTCAAGCAGTCGGGCCTTCAGCCACCTCACCTGCCGCATCCTGCCGCGTTGAAGATTGTCTCAGCCACGTATTGCAGGCTAAACATGAAAAGCGGTAAAAACACAGGTCAAGAAAGGTTAAGCCGGTTTAGCAGTGGTAAGATTTCAACGCTCACCCTTGAACCGAGAGCATGGGTAATGTCGAAGCCTCATCGAGAAGGCATCTGTTACATACCCGTGCAGTGGGAACATGACATATTGAAATGCTTGTTGATCGCTAGCGGCAGGCAGGGCAATGACCATCCTGGATTTGTATTTCAACCTGCCGAGCAAATTGCATAGAAGGCATATGGGCGCTCGCCTCGGCCTGCTAGACGAGAAGGGTGTGTGAAATGCTCAAGCTTCGTCATTACTGAGCACATGTTTGCATGGCATGTGGGCCTGAAAATCAAAATCTATTTGCTGACCGGACGACTGCAGACACACCATGGGAGATAGGTTGTCCTGAGCTGCAAGATGCATTTGGCATGGCTTGAGCAGGCTACCTCGTGATTCAGGATGCTTTGCGCCAGAGCTTTGCCTCGGAGTTTGCCGTGCACCGGTGTGGTTAGTTGCATGACCCACTGGTTGCTGACACGCGGGGGGTGACATGAATGCCGCGGCAATCTAAAGGTGCAAATGGCAAAGCTGGACAACGGCTGGAACTTGCATCCTGCTCCTCAGGCCACACCAGGACTCCTGTTCAGCGTTCTAGCTGCCTAAGTCGTTTTGAGTCAAAGTCTATTTCGGTGAGGACAGCGAGGTGACCGTTTGGTGTGGATCGACGAAGACATTGCCGAAGCTCGCCGGACTTTGTGTTGGCCTCTGGCCATGTGCGGCGCTGCCCAGTGCAAGATCAGGAAATACCTCCTGACCGGGCAAGGCTTAGGAGGGCTTGAGGAATCCTGTCCTCCAGATGTTGTCTTCTGCTACTTGAGAGGAATCAGGCAACCTGAAGGCATGCCATCGCCTCCTTTGCTTCACAAGCTGTATCGAGGAGTGCCGTTACGGGTCAACCGCGGTGGCAGAAGCCATTCGGTTATTGAAGGTCCACCTTTGTTGACAGTTGCAAGGCAAGGGTTTGCAGTGCGGACTGATGACTTTGCAGGGCGTGGCCGCTGCGTTAAATCCAGCTCTGACAAGCTATCACTGGAGCAGCAACTCAGCTGGACATCCAGCGCATGCGTCACTTGGCAAAGCTTTTTATGTAGACCGTAGCGTAGACCTGAGCTTGCGGCGCGACCTCTGGCGATCAGATGAAAGGACTTCATGAACTGGACGAGTGCGGATGAATGTCAAACCACACAGAAAAAAAGTAAAACTGGCATGCACAATGTTTTGCCTCAGTTTGCGTCGTGTGGGACCAGGTTACGACCACGGTTGCCAGCAACGGACGAGGCAGTACTCACCGTGTCTCCAAAGGCCCAGCTGGCCTGCTATCCCGGCGATGGTACCCACTATGTCTGCCACCAGGACCGTCGGTAGAATGGTGTAATTACTACTGAGAAATGGAGTTCTGCTGGACAGGACAACAAGTTCAGGCACTTGCTGACCCAGCAAGTTGGCATGGCCGTCTCGTGTTAAACAGATCCCATCTACAGCAAGCTTTGAAGGCCGAGCCACGGCACCCGCCTGAACTCGAGGGAGCTCACCGCCATTTTGTGTCTTGTTTTTAGCCTTTCTTGCAGGGTAGTCTGTTTAGTATTTGAGAGGAGTTAAATGCAAAATGTGTGGAGGGCTCGCCCTATGGACCGTGTTCGGAGACCTTTAGGAAGCCTGCAGGACAAGAGTCGAGGCACCGCTAGAAGCCACATCAGAACACCCTTGGTTTTGACCCAGAAAGTTGGGGCACGGTGTCATAATTATAGGAGGGATTGCGAGCTAGCGGCCAGGGTCAGGGCTTCACAGGGTCACCTCAGCATTCAGGTTATCGGGCTCAGGCATATGGGTGTGGCTTTTGGTGCATGGGCGGAAGATGTTGTTTGACAACTCGTGTGTTGAACCACGGCAAGTAAGATCGACAGTCATGGACAATACATGTAAATTTGCGTGTCAAGACATGTGGTCTTAGGTACGGCAACCCTGCCGACTGGGACATTTGCAAAGCGGCTGGCCGCAATTTGATAAACCCTAGCACAATAATCATCTCGAGCATGCTTGTAGGTTGGCGGATCAATAAATTCGTCTCACAAGGCTGTAAGCCAGGCAGGACATTGAGCTGCCAGAAATGCGCCGTGCGATAGATGAAGATCCGAGGACGGAGGAGCCCTAAAGTTGTACCCGGGAACCGAAGATTTCGAGTCAGCACCATCTGCAGATCATCCTTCCATACAAGTTGCTCCCAGAGTTGGAACACTGGCGCCTTGGATGCGTTTCAATGCGCAAGGCGTCGGCCTTGTGAATGTGAAGATGTAGTATCCCAGGTGATCTTTTTCTCGAGACTTTGGCATGAAGTGCTGCCTTCGCATCGTCCACGTCGTGCGCTGACTTTGTGGATTCTGCGCCCTGAGGAGGAGGAGAGCTGGATTCCAACCGTGTTCTAAAAGTTTGGATTGTTGACGCCTTCGCGTGCCTGGCATAGCCGTCCCTAACAGTGTGCGGCGGATGTGATGGAGCAGCTGGTGTCGGGTTGGAGCCCAGCGCAGCGGCAAGCCGCAGGCCGCGCTCAGGGATTCATTGGAAGATCATCATCGTACCGTTTTGGCTTCCATGCGCTGACTTGACCTTGCAGTTGCTGAAGGGCATCTGAGCTGAGCAACCGCGAGAATCCTCAGCGAGACGGTCACCCCGCCCATGTTTGTTACCCAGATCGAGCACGCACAAGATTGTGGTCATCATCACCCAGCACCGCGGCGGCCCCTCCTGGCACTCGTTCTGCGGGAGTATGGTAAAGTTTCTTGAGAGATTCTTCAAGCGCACCGCCTGGAAAATCGAGTGGTTCGTAAGTCACCGAAAATGCAGGCCCTTCTGGCCTGCCACCAGCAAGCAGAGGTGATGCAGAAACGCTGCGTGGCTCAAGAAGATGTTAGATTTCAGGGGCAGGTTCCATATAGATGAGCTAGCAGCAAGCCGCTCAAACACTCCAGCACTAGCCAAATCGCAGAGAAAAGACGAGCACTTCACTTGGTAGGCTGAGCCTCGACCAACGCAAGCTACCATTAGCTATGCTCGAGCAACTCACTCAGGTTGTCAGTGTATGCTAGCGTCTACTGAGTCTACTGGTCAGTCATTGACTCAATCTCGTCACATACCTCAATCGCCTGTGGTTGCGTCATTCGCCCACACCGCTCCAGCCTCCTGGCTGCTTAGGACCATGCAATGAAAAGTGGCTTGCACAAAGCTTCTTCATGCCCTCCAACAGACCTAAGCCTACATGGCAAGGGGAATTTGAAAGGTGTTGTGCACAGGATGATGTCAAGTGTTAGCGATCACCCCAGTGTTACAGTCCCTGTTCTTTCAAGGAGTCGCGAAATGACACTTGCCTGCATAGCGCATGTACACGGCGTGAACACAGTTGAGAAGTCATATGGTTCTTCAGGCCAGTGTGGCACGATTCCCCATCCAGGCCATGCAGGGGTGGCAAAGGACTGGCACGGCTTAACACATTGCCTTTACTTCTTACAGGTCCCCGCGTCGGAGACGCTCGCCCTCCCGTGAGAGGCGGGAAGTTGATGCTGCACACCAGCACGAGCTGATAGCTGCCTTGCAGAGCTGAGCAGACGCAGGCGACGCTCACGCAGTGCAGCTGGGCTGCAGTCGGTTAGTCCAAATGGAGGCATACTGCTCCTATACATCCCGTGTCCACTGCCGAGCTCAGGCGTCACGGTCCCACTCACGAGATCGCCGCAGAGAAGAGAGGCAACTTAGCTAGGCATTTGCTAGTGGATGCACTCCATTATCCGGCTGTTTGTCTTTTGCATACTGCCTGCACCGCTTGCAAAAAGCCTTTTTGAATTCTGTGGTGGCCAGGCGCTCAAGTGAGCAACAGGAAGCTGGTTTCCGAGGCGCAGCTGTGGAAATGCTTTTGGGGCTCAGCAAGATCTAGTATGAAGTGCTGCGATCTGCAGCCTTCAAGCCTGTTCCATGGTCAACCGCGAGAAGCCGTGTTGTCAGTGGCAAAGTCACGCTTGGTGAGTTGATCCGGCTACTTTTCTGGAGCCTCCTTGCAGGCGGGGTGGTCATTGGCAACCCTGCGGAGACCGAACCACCTACGTACGAAATTGAGCAAGTAGGTGGGATGCTTGCAGACCATGAGGGCTAGTGAGCCAGTTCTTAGGTGAGGCAAGCCCAACAAATCACTTAATCATGCCACGATGTCTTAGTCGGCGTCCCAACAACTCCGTTTGTTCTGCTGAGGCAAGAAGCACAATGGCGACCCGACTTATCAGGCACCAACACTGTGTTGCTGTGCTTGCGTGAAGAGCAGAAACCCAGCATGCTGATCCGCTCGTCGTACCTCGATGTTGTGCTCAGGCGGTGCTGAACATCAAGGGCCATGGAGGGAGTCGCTAGCTTAAAACAAACGCTGCCTGCACTGCGTTTTTGCTGATCCATTTTCCCGTTCAGAGCGTGAACCGGGCCATGCGCTATTGATTCGTGCATTGCCCCGTTTACTACAGCCTCGACGGTCATGGCTGAATCTTTTGGCTCATGGGTCTGATCCTGGAGAAGCAGGGACTTGTAAACAGCTGATTGCTTGTTGAAAAACGGGCGGTCGATGTTAATGCGTTTAGTCGGATTCTGTGTTTTCATTTGTTCGCCATATTATGTGTCGTGTCTTGGCCCACCTTCTGTCAACCCGTGCATGCCCCAGCTTTGAGCACTTAAGACGACAAAGCCGAAGCCTTGCAATATTCAAGCTGAAATTTGATGAAGTCTGCTTGGGGTTGAGTAGCAAGATTGACATCTCATCAAGGACAACATTGCGCACCAAAAACAGGCGTGGTGCCGGAGACATCTTGAAGGAAATACCATGTTTTGTACAGGCTGCATAGTGTCCTTTGTGGCACGCTTTCCTCAAGCAAGCTCCATGCTAAGGAATCCGATCCTTACGAGCTCCACCCAGGGCAAACCAGGCCCAGTGAGTACATCGCCACGATTCGTGATTAGTACTCCAATTTGTCACCGCTGTTTGCTAAATTGAAAAGTTCACTCAACCCGTACGCATGTACTGCTGTGGTGAGTGAGGATGATGCACGGGACGATGGAGAGGAGATGAAAGACTGCTTCATGCACCCTGGCACAGTTTCTTCTGTCGCGCTGCATTTTCTGGTCGAGGGTGGCTTTTGAGCTTTTGCTAAGCAATCTCGGGCAACGTAGTGTTCGGGCGGCGCCTACCCCTGGTAGAGCGACATCGCCCTCCCACCCCACACAATCAAAGTCGCCAGGGGCTGGAGGCAAGAGAATGCATCAAGTCGGAGAGCTTCAGCTTTGTGTTGGGGTGTGGGTTGCAGAGTGATCAGTGGCGAGTTCCGTGCAAGCTAGATGACCAAGTACTTCCCGGAGTGGGGCGGTCAGATTTCCGAAGTTCCCCCAGAAGCCGGACGGTCAGTTTAGTGTTGTCATGGAATCATACCCGCACATACCCCGATATATCAAAGGGGAGAATACAGGCCCACGTGCAGTTGGCTATCTGCATTTAAAGCATCCAGGCTCTTGTGTGGGCCCTTCCATGCAAAGATGGTAAACAAGCCCTCTATGACTCTAGGCAAAACGATCAGGGGGTTTGAAGCGGTTAATGGACGAAGCCCAACAATGAGACTGATGAGAGCCCGTCTTATACGTTGATGGGATGTGCTGGTTAAAAACAAAGATGTTAAAGATATCACACGCCGTAAGAAGATTCAACCTACGATTTCCTGCAAGTGATCGCTAACAAGCAAAGAAGCGCCCTTCTAACCGAAAGCATGGGCCCGTGTTCCGACGCACTCTCCAGAATGCGTCTCCTTGAGTCTCCTTCAGCCAGGAAGGACGGGATGCCCGGCCTGCGGGAACTTCAGCAGAAACAGCGGCGCAGCCGGATCAGCCCTGGCCTCAGAGACTTGCATGGAGTACCAGGATTTTGCATTGTGCTGCAGCCCATAGCCCATGGTCATATGGTTGGGATCATGGCTGATGGCAATGCAGGCTGACCAGCCGAACGCATACAAGGAGCTGCCCTCAGTTTCTACCCAGCTCAGAGAATTGTGCGTTGCAGAATGTTGGAAAACAAAGGTCGGGTCAGGGCAAGTGAGTTGGAATTGACTTGTGCAGATGCCCTGCTCCAAAGATGTAATGTCCTTGTCGAGAGGTGCAATAGGAGCTTCAGATCGATGTCATTCGAAAAGGGTTTACGCAAAGTGCATGCAGTCTCTTTCGACCCGTGGTGCAATCCACGAGCCTAAGGACACGGCAGCAATGAGAGTGAAGCGCATGTCTTCAGGCCGTGTATGGGGGCGTGGAACATTCTTCTACATGCAGTACCCAACATGTAATGTGGTCCAGCAGCATCGACCTTCAACATTTGCTTGGAGTTGTTGTTGGACATGATTATGGTAAACCAACCTGTAGGAAAACCCCAGGGACTCGACGAGGCGAGACTTGCAGCTTTCGGGGCAAACTGGTGATTGCCCTGGCTGCTATTGCATGCCTTTTGGGTTTTTGGCTCGCAAGACATGTAAGTTGTTTGGTCACTACTCCATGTTCGGCTGGGTCACCAGTCCGGAAATGAGGCCTCGCACACATGACTTTGCATTCATGGCGTTGGCTTCATTCTGGCCCTGGACGCCGACTGGCGCTCTTCGTTCGAAGGAGCACGATGATACGCTGGGTGATGGGCCTCTAGAGCAAGCTAGATTCCATGGGCAAGATGACCACGCAATGCTTCTACAACTGCCGCACAGTTGTCCTGAGTCCGCGCTGCTGCCTTTTCCCGATCGTGCTGGCGACTGTTTTTGTCGGAGTGGGAGCTCGTGTATGTTTGGAGGCACTCCAGGATGCCCCGCATCATCAGGCGCCAGCGTTGCGATTTCTCTGCAAACTGCACGGATTGTATATGCAAGAAAAGAGTAAAAGCTCCTAAGCCGCTTGCTTTCTTGTGTCCCGAATTCGCGGCTTTCAAGCGCCCAGATCCTGAGGGGGATTGCTACTGTCCACTTCAGCTGGAGTGTTTCCAGAATTCCAAGCTTGGCTGCCGCTCGAGCAACGGGCCGACAAGCACCAGGCATTTTCAGGTTGGTTGCAGCAACTGCTCTTGCAAGCAATCCCTGCCAAGCAGCTCGCCAGTCATTTCTCTCGGCGATGGGGCTGGCCCTTCACATTCACCGACGTTGTTCGGTGGTCAGGCCACGACATTGCAACCTCTACATTTGACTGCATTCCCTCGAGCTCAAGCTACCACGAGCTTCCAAGCAGCGAGCCTCTCTCACCCAACCGAATTCGTGGTAAGCCATGAGGCTGTGGCAATCGCTGGGGAAGTCTCAAGCGAGGTCATCGAATTCTCGGTAGTTGCACGACCTGAGGCAGCAGGCCAGGCCGCTGCTCGATCACAGCTTCCACATCCACTTGCTGGTGAACAGCACGCGTAACCCCCAAGCAAATGGAAGCATCTCAGTGGGCAAAAGCAGGAAGTCCATTCCACAGAGGCGCACGAGCTGCTTGCTAGCAATCTCGCCGGTGAAGATGCGCGCCCAGAAGACATGCAAAGAGCTCGGGGCTTGTGCTGGGCTGTGCATGCTTGAGTGAGATCAAGTGGCTATAGTGCGTGCACATGCAGCAACGAATGAGACATAGTTAATCATGGCTAAGCTATTGAGGATGTCAAAAGCTAGCTGACAGCCATAGCATGCTAGCGGCAATGGTCATGACAGTACAGGTTCAACACAATCGGAATCAACATTCCCATAGGCAGCTTTTCATCGGAAATCTAGTCGTAACAGCCCACGGCCCCGTGCGCCATTCTGATTTGAGTTCTGCCCATGCAGGGCGAAGCTAGAAATGTCGAGCCATGGAGGGGTGCATGCGGTGGAGTGGTCCTATCGCGACTTTAATGCAAGAGCTTAGCTTGAAAGCTGAATGTCTAATCTAGGCTGTCAGTGGCTGCCTCAACAGCATGGTCTGTTGTCGAAGGAATGCGGTTTTACAACTACAACATGGCCAACAGTTCTTCGCTCCTCAGCACTGTTGGCATGAAGGGAGCGGGCAGCAGAACGCGGAAGATCTGTAGAGTGCACCTGCAGTGGGCACCAGCCAACAGTTCAGCATGTGAGTTGATGGGCGCCAGACAACATGCTCGGGCAACATGGCCAGCGCTGAGCTTGCTGAGTCCCCTCTCCAGGTTCGAAGGTTTGCACCAGCTTCAGGGCAGCGATGGTCAAGACTTTGAACGCTGGGTCCAGGACTGCTCATGATATGCTTCAAGTGCTTTTCTGCCTCGTCCGGTAGGCCTTATTAGGCCTGTGCAGAAACTTGGCATCCAGAGAACCAGACTCATTCAGAGTCAGTCCTCCTTGAAGGGACTGTGCCAGGAGCCCCTGGCAGATGGGGGACCAGTGGATCTCGTTTTCGCGACGCTGTCCGAGACAAGGCACGCCTATTTCCAGCGCAAATCGGCAAAATGCAGCATTGCTCTTAGGCTGCAGTTGGGGCCGTGGGTTCGTGACTACCGGACTCGCTCCTCATCCTCGCAATGCTTGGATGTAGCGACATACCAGAGCCTGGCACCGCAAACAAGTTGCTGGGTGACATACTGTCATGTCATCGGAGCTTGTTGTTTGAGTTCGCAAAGCACCAAGAGAGAGAGAGAGAACCATTGAGTGCCTTTTCCCAGGAATTCCTTAAAGGAAGCCGACAAGACGCTCGGAGATTTGGTGTGACCTTAACCCCTGGCCTTTCCCGAGCATTATCTCAGGAAAAACGAGCTGCCCTGGACGAGCGTGTTGAACGGAATGGCCGAGAAGTACAACGGCAATCTTAAGACCTTGCTACTGCTACCTGGAGTTTGAGTTGCGCACATGCATGACACGCTCCTTTTGTCCTCAGCCCTCAAGCTGGAATACGTGGAAGAGTGGCATGCAGTGACATCCCTGCTCCTGCGAGTGGCCCAGGTTTTCCAGATCTCGCTTCAGAAGGGATCCCGACTCACTACCTCTTTTCGGGAGGCCAGTTTGCCTTCAGCTACTAGGGATCATCTCGGCATACATGCGGTCAGAAGCTCTTGTTCGATTTGTAATGCTTGCATTGCCTTCGAGCTTCAGGCTGCCAGACAAGCGAGTCGCTGGCATGGTACAAGCCTCAAAGCCTGTGCGGAGTTGCCGATCATCATCATGTCAATTGTCGCAATGCGCAGAAGACAGAAACAAAAAAACGTTGGCCAGCAAGCGTTTGTTGCTGCTGCTTTCGTGAGGCCTTGCCCAATCCCAAGAAGGCGTTCATGGGCCGCAGCTTGCTATCTCGTCGCGAGGAGCTCCACTTCTGCTTTGCAGGTGCCCTGCCTGGCAGACATGACCTGTGTTGCCATATCTTGTGTAGTGTTTTTCCTATAGCCAAACTGGCAGCTTGTGTTGTTCTACTGCGGGGCTTGCAGTGCATTAGCGGAATTACGTGAACACAGTGGCAGGTGCACATTTTCCTATTAGTGAGATAGCGGCTGTGCTGGAAGATGCGAAGAAGGACAGCCTGGAAGAGGCAAAGACCCTCATGGCAAGGACAGGCAAAACACACCCGCAATCATGTTGGACAATGATGCCAGAGTTGACCAGTGCTGGAAATCATCGCTCGGCGTCATTTTCTGAACTCCTAATTAGGGGTCCTGGAGCTCTGCAGGATACTGCGAAAAGTGCTACGAAAAGCACACCGCATGGGTCTTCTGGATGATGGCACTCTTCTCATCCTACAAGGCGCAAGCTCCTGAATCCCTAGAAGTGTTGCCGCGAAGGTGATATTTTTCATGATATTGAACCTGCTTCAAACGCGGGCAAGACAAGCGACCACCTGACGAAATTGCTGCTACGCACACCATTGCTATTGCGGGCTTTGCAACTGATCCAGAGTGCCATCCCACTTCTTGGGTTGTGTGCCAGTCTACGCAAGTCTCGACATGACAGTATTGAGTGTTGGTAGCAGTAGCCGGTAGACATGGCTGTCAGAGTTGCTTTTGGTAAGGGCTTTTGCAGTTAGTGCCACTATGTGCTTTTCTGCTGACTTCTACCACTGCGAGCGTGACGGCCCCCACCTTTTGTTTCCTGAGCCTAGAACGACTAGACATACTTGCTTCATGCATTCTCATGGAGCTGCCAATACTGCCACATTGAGAGGAGCGTGCAAGCAAATGCAAACTAGTCACAAGAGCTAGCACCGCTAGGCGTGAGTTGTTTCTTGCTTTTGCAATCGCAATCGTTCACAGCCGTACGGGGCAAGCAAGCTGTGAAAGGCAGCGGGCTAAAGATTGGTGTTTGTGCGGGGGGAGGGGGGGGGGGGATTAAAATCATAAACTTGCATAATTCGCTAATGGGTTGACCATGCCACGATTGACACCATGCTTGCTCGATGCATATGGAAGAACTCCCCACTTGGTTCTTTGCCTGGCCATGACACGAACATCATCATGTTTGGTTGGTTGTTGCATTGAACCTCCCTGCTCCTTGTGTAATGTTCATTTGCCTTGCATGGTAATAGTACGACCACCGTTAACTTGGATTGTTGCCTCAAACCTCCTTACTCCTTTGCAATGTTCCTGCACTTGCAAGGTCATGGCATAGAATCGTCGTGGCTGGTGGTTGCATCAAACCTCCCTCCTCCCTGTGTAGTGTTCACTGGCCTTGCATTGACAGATGATGAACGGCATCATGACCATATGCAAAACTCCTGATTTCTTATGAGCGCTCACCCGCCTTGCATGGTAAGGCACAAATGGCATTGTACGTTGCAGTTGCATCAGAACCTCCCTACTCCTTTTTCCTTCCACACGCCTGCATGGCCATTGTGCCATCGTACCAATTGCACCATGCTTGGTATTTGGGACCTCCCGCCTCCTCCGGTACTCACTCTGGCACCAGTGGCATCATGCTGTGTGGTGTCAGGCCTCCCTACTCCTTTTCTAGGAGCCTCTTGATCTGAATCCGGCAAAGCAGAACCCTGCAGCATTTACCAGCACTTGTCATTAATGTGTTTAAAGCGTTTTGCCCGCAGACTGCGAAGGATTCTAAACTGAGCACCCTCGATTCCTGAACGAAGAAAATGTTAGACCAGGAACGAATACATTCGCATGTGCCGATACCTTGTCAAGTGAAACAGGGAGGCTGCTGATCAACGCTTTTCTCGCACCACCATTCCAGCGCGAGCCTCTTAAGAATGGGGGTCTGACAAAGCACCGTCGTAAGCCAAACAGCACCGCGCAAAACGATTGCCATAGATTTAGATCCCGTGCCTGTCCCAAAAAGCCTTTTCCCTTGATCAACAAGTGCAGTATCAAACATTTTGAGCCAGAAAGGTGACCTGAACAGCCGAACTGTGCTTCGTTCCGCGGGGCAACTGGACGTGCTGAGCGAGGTCGGGTCTTCTCCAAATTGCAGAATCTTTCAGAGGGACCCCTAGCCCCACCATCCGCATGTCGCAGGAATCCTTTAGGATGTTCTCATTCTTGAAAAACCCATCAGAACCCCAGGTGCTGGCAGACAAGAACATGCAGGTTGGGATGCTGCTGACTCATGGCGTTGTTGTTTGTCAGCCGTGGAAGAGCTATTGGTATGCAGTACAATCAAGAACGTTAGTGTTGGTGTTGCTGACGCTGTCATAGCAGAAGTAACATCACAACTCGAGGCCGCAACAGGCAGCGGGGGCAGGAAGACCATGATGATTTCTTTCAGCTGGAGTGCTACCACGGCCACCGCTAGCGCCACCAAAGTCAACTTCTAGCGCTACTTGTTCTCGTTGGTGATGGTCCTGCTGATGCTGCTGCTGCCACTGCTGCTGTTACCGTTGCTCTGATGCTTATGCGGTTGCTCAGCAATGTTGCACGCAGGCAGCAATCCAAGCTGGGTTGCCATTCTTGGAATCTTGGCCCTATCGAAACATGAACGCTTTGGCGCCCTTTGCCATTTGCGGACCACCCTTGCCCAGGACGGGGAATGGCTTGAACCGGCAAACTCTGATCCGACAGAGCTGCCCGCCGCTTTTCCTGCAAGCGTTCCCAGCAACAGATGGAAGGCATCAAAAGCTGTCTTGCCAGCAGCCATATCAATCCCAAGGTCACCTACAAGTTTTCGTGCGAAGTCGGTCTGGAGCTGAGCTTTGAAAGCACGGTTTTCTCCCAGGCTGATGCACACGGACACTTCAAGCAGACGCCCACTAACAAAGCACAACAAAGGGGTGAGCTTCTCTGACACTGTTCATGTCCCACTTGGTGAGCTACTTTGCCATTTTGACAGGGTTGTGCCACCCCGCCTACTCTATGTTAAGCTATGATCTGAAGCTCAGATTTACTACAGGACATGAAGGCACAGGCACAAAATGCACCTGGAGTGGTCCGGGTTGTCGCAGTGAGGCGGGACCTTCCTGAGGGGGGAAAGCGGCATAGCTGCAAGCAAGTTGCAAGGACCGGCAAGAATGATCCTTTGCTTCTGCTGGGCCCAGGATCACTGACTCTGAAAACTGTGCTCGACGCTACAAGCCCCGCGGAGCTGAGCCCCAAGAGCCCCAGCTTTGAGCGCTACCACGCGCTCTCCGTCCGAATTTGAGGTTTTCGCAGAGCTTTTGGCATCAATCGGGGTTCATGCGGTCAGGGCATGTGCCTGTGTAAGTTACAACTACAAAAATGCCATCCTTGCGGCCTGAGTATCTTGCGCGTCAGCTAAGGACGCTGAGCAGCTTGTGGCTTCCTCAGTTGGCACAACATGACCCAATCTTCCCTTCCTTGGAAGACGACATCAGCCTTCAGCTCGGTCCCAAGGCCACCGGAGCAGCTGAAGGATTGGGGACGCACAGCGGCAATTACTTGATGTTGCAGCATGCACCGAGAAATCGCCATGTAAGCTGTGTGCTGGAGAGCAATAGCCTCAATCACTGAAGCTTTTGCGAGCTGACACACTTTATCGGCACGTGCCAGAATTGGGAAAAGGGTAAGAGCAAAAACACGATTACCTAGTAATATATGATAACCGATGTTATGTGATGGGAAATGATATGAACAGTTGGCGCCTGTCAGTTGAATCTTTGATCCATGCTGCTGTTGTGGGAGTCCGCGAATGCAGGGTTCCGCCGGGTGTTCTGATGGAAGCAGAGGTTTGGACTTCAAGGAGAACAGCTTCCGGCCTTTCCGCCCTGCGGCTGCACCTTCTACACCCAGTCTGGTTTCGCTAGCAGGCCTTAGGGTCTACCGCAACGCATTTAAGGCTTTCCAGCTTCAGCTGATCGCTTGCTTGCGTGGGCCCCCAGGAAGCTTGCAAGGCCTGACCTTCTCCGGAAAGGTTCTTGAAGTACACCGCTTGAAGCGTGCAGTGGTTTACCCACAGGCGGCTGCGGTGGCATTTTCCTAAAGGAGGCTACGAGGCCAACCGCACCAAACAAAGATGCCATGCATCACAGGCAACTCAAGTTCGGATGACATGATGAAAGCCGAGACAGTCTGCACAGCAGCAGTGAAAAACAATTGGCTGAACCTCTCGGAATGTTTGACTCAATTTGAGAATGTGGCGGTGCTGCGCACATTCCCCTTGAAGAAGTTTGGATGAGCGCTTCCCACGCAACATCTACGTGCAAGTGGCATGCAAAAAGTGCGTCCTAACTTGCGGCAGGTGATCCATACCCAGGGAGGTAGCGACCACCGTCCTGTGGCACTTGAGGCTGGGATCAGGAAGCTGCAGGGCAGGAGACTACTACCAGCAGCATCGAACAGCATCGAATATTGACAGGCAACCCTGACAGTGGCGGCCTCCATGCCGGAGGATGTGGAGGCTTTTCCAAAGCCATCTGCGCAGCTGATCGAGGCAGGCTCAGCCCTTGTGCAGGGTTTGCAGACGGTGTACGGATGTTTTCCTCTGCTGAAAAATACTTTCTTGTTTGACAAGCCTTGGATCATAAGCACATTGCAGTTCCTTGCTGCATCCAACGGCAGGAAGTTGGCCAAGACGATGCTGAAGATAGCGATTCCGGTGACCGGACTGGCAAGTCAAATTGGACACCGGTCACTTGCAGAAGTTGAAGCTTGTGCAGGTGATTCTCCGGGGCTGCTGGGCTCGCTGGCCTGAAGCTTGTTCAAACACCGCTCCACAGAATCATGTGTTTCTTATGGAAACCAAGCAAGGGCAGCGCATTGCTAATCGCAAAGGCGTCGCGGACAGGCGTGGGCGCCAGCTGGTTTCGACACTCTGCGAGCCTCCGCCGCAAGAATTTCAAGCATGCTGCGAAACTCAAGCAACGCCTCCTGTCAATAACGACGCATACTGATGCAGTTTGAAGTTTGCCCCTGGAAGCCGAGGAGCGGTTACATCCGGTGAGCAGCGCGACACCTGGAGGCAGGCTTGCCAGGATTCCTCGCATCAGCTCCAGTCACTCCGTGCAAACACCATGCTGGATTGATGCCACTCATATGTTACCCTACCAACATGGGAAGGGGCTCAAATTCTGTGAGGTTAACGACTGCAAGCGGTGAACGCTTGATGACAATGGAAGGGTTGGCCGAATCCATCTAAGTGCTGGCGCTGCACCATTAGTGACACAGCAGGTTTCCAGACAGCCGGTCACCTTCCAAGCACAACCTTCAAACGAAGGCTGCGCAGCGGGCTCCATGCAAAGCCGGAAGGAGAAAAAACAGGGTGGAAGATGCTACAACTACGGGCACAGTATGCGACAGTTTCGTGGCATAGCTTAACTTCAGTTGATGGAATTCCCATGTGCTCTCAGCCACATCATGGGCACAGGCACAATTTGATATGCAAGGCCATCAGCCTTATTGTTAGGCTTAGAGTTTAGAATCATACCTATACATGAATGAGCACACATGGTGACCATTTTCAGGGCCAAAGTAAAGGGGCGGCACCGCGGATGGCAACCGGCGGTTACACAGAGCAGGCTGAAATTCGAGTGCACACATGTAAGTTCTTGTTCCCAGTCACTTTGTCTGTACTGCACGAGGATGAAGCACCTGCCGTTGGACAGAAGGCTCAGCTCTCAGGAAGTGAGCGTCGTACAGCACACCGTATGACACCGTCATTGCAGGTCTCGGTGGCCGGCTACCCGGCCATCGTGCGATTCGTGGGCTCTGCGCACTTTGCTCCCGGCGAATGGATTGGCGTGGAGCTGGAGCCTGGCCAACCCGCCACGCGTTGCGAGCGCGAACATGCGTGGCACGTGCCTCTTCTTGTGCAGCTGCAGCTACCCTTTGCATGTCATGCATGATGGCGCCAGCTATTGGCAAAAACGACGGCACGGTGCAGGACAAAAGGCACGCCCCTAGCATATTGCTCGCCAAAAGCGAATTCAGACCCTGTTCTATCTGCCAGTGGCGGCTGCAGCAGCAGACAATCGCTATCAACTGCAGCAGTGCTTGAGGGCTAGGAGGTGTACTGCAACGGACCGCATAGGTAGAAATCATTTGCTCCCTCAGAGATTTTGAGCTGACAGCTTCAGTGCCGAATTTGAGGGCGCCGAGCCAACTATGTTGGTACATGATGAATTTTCTTCGCTCATTCAATATTTTTGGATCGTCAGCGGAGGTATTTCACCTGCAAGCCGAATCATGGCCTCTTCGTGCGGCGCAGTGTCGTGTCGGGAGCCCATGCTGCAGAAACTGAAACCAAGCTGTCCAGCAATTAGAGCTGGGGCCCCTCCCACAACAGCTTTGCCCCACTCACACGGCCGCCTGAGATGCCCAAACCTGCTCCATGCTTTCATCTCTGACAAAGTCATAAGTCATTGCCAGTTGCCTGTTACTTAGAAAAACAGGCAGAGATTACCGAGCGGAGATGCACCGAGCACGGGCAAGGCAAGAGTTCTCTTCGCAGGCCAGGGAAAAGAGCAGTCCCAGCGCATTCATCCTGACTCTACTCAATCAAAGGGTATTGTCATCCTGTCTCTGCTCGGAACTTTCTGCTTCGCAGACAGGAGCTGGCCCCGAGATCTGCGAGCCGCCAGCAAACATCTGAGATCGTATCAGCCAAGATGGGGCAGCGCTGGCTTGGCTGACCTGTTGAAATGTCCAAGCAAGCAAAGCCCGCGAACGCACTGGGCTTTGAGGTGAGCGGGCATGCTGAAGGCCTCCCAATCATTCGCACATCTTGACATGAGCAAGTCTACGTGATCAAGTGGATGTCAAGCAAATCAGTGCTGGGGAAAAAACGTAAACACCCTTGAGTACCGCCCATCTAGGAGACGACTCACAAAGTGATGACGATGTGGATGAGGCTGCGCAATGTGATGCACTTCGATGGCGCATCCTTCATGCAATTTCTTCTGGCTCGGAGGTGGCAATGGTACCCACGCAAACCATGCGTCGGAAAGGTGTGTCTGCGGAAGCTCGTGGTCTGGAGGTGCAGCCTCCTGTTAGCCAAATAGCCAGCAGCAATTTTGCCCAGGTCGACTGAATGAACTGGAGAACATCTGCCCTGTTCCACTTCTATCTCACTCCGCAGGACGATTGGGCGCCACCCGTCCACGAGAAGAGTCCCGCAGAAAAGCAGCAGCTCAAAGATGCCGTCAGGATGCATTGAGAGACAGTGGTAGTGCCAGCAAGGTAACAAGCAACGGTGCTCAGGTCATTGACCGTTCCCATGACAGTGACAGGGCCGCAGTGGATGCTTCTGACTTGAATTGGGAATTTGGAGCTCAGAAGTGCTGCTGACTCTACAGAGAGAGGGAGCTGCTATGCACACATGTCGTAGGAAAGGCTGTGCTAGATTGCTCTCTCTCTCGAAATAATCGAGTGACATCGCAGTCTAATGGGAACATGCTACCCTCTATCCTAATGCCCATAAAAGTTCATGTCAGGCAAGCTGCGGATGATGAGCGGCGCTCAGCATCAGCATATCTGTTCCAGGATTCAAGCAGAAAAACAAGGTAAGCGCGCATTCGATGCTTGATCATTTCGGGTCGTGACGCTCATCGTGCGCTGAGGTTTGGAAATCTTTCTGCTAAAGGTTTGGAGCGGGTCATTGAGGCGCTGAATGAGATCAATAGGGTATTAGCACACCACCCGACCACAAGTATGCCGCACATTTGTTGTGACCATGTCAGCCCTTGCATTTTGCCTTATCGACTTTGCCATTGCCAGAGGAATGGGTGTAGGGCTCAGCAGTCATCCGGGTCAGGCCATGTTCAAAAAGTCCTTGAAAAAGGGCGAGACAATCATCAGGCTCAGTTCGATTGCCTATGTGGACCAGGGTGGAGACTGCTGCGCAGGTTTGGCGATGAAGGAGACAACTTTTACATTGCCCGCTTTGCATGATTGCAGGCGCGGATGGGGCTGGCAAACACGAAATCCTTGCGGCCAGGTGAAACATGGCAAGTTCAACATTTTTGCGTACCGGCGCATTCAGCAGGCATCTTTCAGAGCTTTGCCAGCATGTTGTTGTGTCGCGTTTTTGCTGCACACTGGAAACTGCCAAGTCTAGAAGGCTGATGCAGAGGCTGAAAGCTCGGCCGAGTTTGTGAAAGTAGTGGCCTAAGCAAAAGGCTCAAGAGTGGGGCGCCGTAAGGCTTTGGAAAACTCCTGGTAGTCGCTATGATCTATGCTCTCCTGGTTGTTCCCACCGCGTTACGCATCTGGCTCTTTTGCTGTCCTGTGGACAGTCTCCGCTGAGATTCATGAACGGCCTTCCATGCAAGCAGCAATAGCTCCTAATTCCCGATGCGCTGTGATGTCCTTCATGCAGATTTGCACACACAGGATTGCTGTAAGACGTACTAGTAGTTCTATCAAAGTTAACGTTGCTGGCATTCTGCTTACCTGCGTTAAGTATTGCTACTGGACTAGTATCAGCGGTATGATATTATGATATCATAAAATTATGATTGCTAAAAGCTCCGAGGTCTTTGAAGCCGGGCCTGGCTTCGCCTTCGGCGAGGCAGCCTTGCTGTACAATGCCAGGGGCCTGGACTCAGCCCGGCTTGCGGAGCAATATAACAATTCCATTAAATCATTAACAATTCAGAATAGTAGTAATAGTCGTATAAAGAACTAGTAACCGTGATATTAAGAAGAATAGGATTAATAAGAAGACTATCACCGTCATATCTGTTTTGTAGCCAAAGCACGGGTTGGCCTCAGGCCCCTAGATCCGCAACGATTACAGCCAGCGAGGACGTTTGGCAACGTTTGGTGCATGCACCTTGCCACCGCAGCTTCGTGTGCTCGCCCGTGCATAGCAATTTCACATGGTATTCTCAGTGCTCCGACGTTTTAGTCGTTTTTCATATGCAGCTGCCTGCCATGAGGACTCTGAAGTTTGGTGCCTGGAGCGGAAAGCTTTCCGGGAGCTTGTCATCAGGCTGGAACAAGAGATACCGGTGACGACGGATTCGCTGCTGTGGCAATTGTTATATTTACCCCTTCATCTCAATTCGTCTTTCACGCTGCGCCACATTCAGGGGCCTCAAACTGCATTGCCTGTGAAAGTGGGTCTTGCAAGCGTCAGGCGTTGAGGGGAACAGGCGCGACTTGCACTCGCCCCGACCCCGTTCTCCCAACTTGCATCCCCTTGTATATTCTGCTCAGCAAGCGGCGTGTTAATGTGCAGGTGGTAATGTTCCGGAAGCTTCGCTCCTTCCCGCACTCAACCGGGCACTGCCGTAGGTACAAGCATTGCACACAACCGAACGCGGAGGATGTGACTCTGCATAGGAGCCTTCCCATTGCAAATCAAGTTGTCATTTGCTGCTCTGAACTGATGCAGCTAATGCTGATTTTCTGAAGCAAACTGAAATGGAGGCCGGCTCTTTCTTGAAGGCTGCATGCAAAGCTGCTCGAACTCAAGCTTGGACCCTCTCACTGCGATACTGTGCTCGCAAAATTGCCCCGAACTAGACATTCCTCCTGCTAGTGCGCAGTTTGAGTTCTACCTTTACGCTTTCCTGGGGTCTGGACAAAAGTGAGGGTCATGAATGCAGCCTGTACCCTGACTAGGGCTTCTGAGCAGAAGTTCAAGGAGTGCGCATTATCAGTTGGACTGAGACTGATGTGGACATCCTTGCTTTACTTGGCCGAAGTTTGATGAGGTGGCCCAAAATATCTAGAGGCCGAAGCACTAGCACTTCAAAGTCGACGGGTTTGGGATGATGCGCAAGCGTCCCGCACCATGATCTATCTTAGAATCATTTTGTTCTGAATACTGCTGACAGCCTGGAAATGTTCGGCAGGTATTCGGAATTCTTGAAGCGATGCGATGTGCTGCAAGAGTTGGATGCGGACCGCTCCTGTTCTGGAAGCGATTTCCTGTCATTAGTGGTGCATGAAACCTTCCCAAGGCAGTAGGGTGGCATCCGGCTTGAGATTTGGAAGCCTTGCAAGCAATTCCCGCCCATCAGCACAAATCTGCGAGTGCAGGAGCAAATTGCAACTTTGGCAGAGGCCGGGCAGCCCGTCCATCATTAGACAAATTGACTAAGGCTCCTGCGCAGGGTTTGATGCGACGGGTTTCAGTGCAGCCTCTGTTGCCAGGTCGTGGACGAGGAGGACTTTAGCAGCGAGGAGGCAAAAACATGTTTTGCAAGTGGCAGGTTGTTGCGCTTAGGTACCAAATCAAAGCGCAAGAAGTGTGTTCTTTGACCACCTGAAACTCACGGGCCCAACCGAACAGGATGTGTTGGCCTTCCAATTCCCTCCAGAGTCAAATTGAGATGTGACGTACCAAGAGACAGCCTCCAAGACTGCCTTCAACCCGATTTTGTGTACAGGTCATCATTCAGCAGGGTGCTTCGAGCTTAGCTTTCTTGATTCTGCGCAATCCTTGACTGCCAAGCTGGCGGGGCAGATATGTGGTGCCGATGCACACTCACGCTGTTTGTTGAAGCTCCTATGTGGCCAAGGGTCGCGACAGCAACATGTTCATCACGTTGAACGGTCAAGTGCCATGCTGAGATTTTTGCGTGTTCTCTTTTGTTTTCAACGGTGATGGCGTAAGCACAGATTGACTTCGAATTTCGCATTTGGGTCTGGGAACTCGTAGGAGGCACCCCCCCCGACTAAAGCCTCCACAAGGTTGAGTGCGTCTGAATCGCCAGAATGGCCTCAGTGGTTCAAAGCATCAAGGCTTGTCATTTTTTTTGAGATTGCAGGCACTGACCCTAGATTGAAGGCTTTGTGTGTCCCAGGAGGCTTGGTAGCTAGGAGGCCAGATAACTAGCCTGAGCCTTAGATGACGTAGATGAAGAATTAAGAGCCCTGGTTCTTGCAGGCTCCTGACCAGAGAGTCTGTGGTTAAGCAGCAAGACTGAACAAGATTGAGATGCCGGTGTTTTTCTCAGGCTGTGGCCTGCATCTCTGGAGACAAGGGGGAAGTGCAGGCCCGCCGCAACGACTGCAATCTTCCCAGCAGAAAGGTCGCGCACAGATCCTGTAATACAGAAGTTAATGATTTACATGAACGCCTTTGCTTCCAACATGCTTGCTTCGCCCTCATCTTCACGTACCCATGAACAGAGGTGAAAACCTACAACCGGGGTGATTTCTTTGGAGAAATCGCCCTGTTGCTTGGCGAACCGAGGAAGGTCTCGCAGCTGCATTAGGGCAGTGCTGAGCGGCATGGCAGCGCGTGATTTGGATGGTACGCATCCTTGGTGAGGCCAGCGTCTACGCCAAAGGAAATGTAACCTGTCTTGTAATCACAAAGCAAGTGTTCGATCGAGCCAGGACCTCAGCAGCAATGCTTTCAGCCAGGCTTGAGAAGCTTGCAGCGCTGCATGGGATGGAGTGGAAGGTATTGGGCCCTCTCAGAGACTTCTTGAAGAAGAATCTGGCAAAGCACGATCCTCAAGGTAACAGTATGCAGACCAAGCAGGTCGCACTGTTCACACTTCTACCCGACCATCATGGCTGTACGTTGGCGGCATTTGGCAGCCTTGTGGAAGGCTGCCCTTGACAAAGCTGACATACCTGCTACATTTGCATGTCTATCTGGGCCGAAGCTCTACACCGAACAGCATGGCGCATGCGGACAGGCAGCAAAGCCTGTCATCCTTTTTTTGCACAGACTTGTCCTGTCCGAAATCACGCTGGCAAGTATTTGACAACACCTGTGTCCAGCTCTGTACAATGCTGCACATCTTTTGCAGAGCAGGACACATGATGATTTCGGAAACGTTGAATAATGTCAATGTAGCTGACTGTCGTAAGACATGCGCAGCTGATGGTGGCATCGTGACAGATAGTATGCATCAGCTGGGCTGAGGTATGCCCGGTACCAGGACGCTATTGAGCAAGGCTGCACAGAAACTGCTGGTCTTTTTCTCTTATCTTTGGTCTCTATTCTCATGGTAACGATGTTTAGCGGTTTAGCGGTCTGCAGGGGAGAAAATGTTTTTCATGCTGGCGGATTGGCCCTCTCGAGGCGGGGAAATGCGAGACGCGCGGCCGAGCGAAGAACCGCAGCAAGCAGAGATGGACTGCCTGCCAACCTGTTGCTTGTCCAAGCCGAAGCAACGGGAAGCTTGTGCAGGAGCGTGAGGCGGAGTCTTGCGCTCAGTGAGTGACTGTTTGACCGCTTTGTACAACGTGGTGCTGTCAGGGCAGCCACGCTTGGCATCAGGAATTCTGCCTGTAAGAAATCTTCGGCATGTGTGAGCATCTTCCAGGCTTGAAGCCCGCAAAAACCAAAGTGCAGAGGCGCGCTTCATTTCATGTGAACTTGCAGGTAGATGGAGAAGCGTCCTCTTGGCACTGCAACGCCTTGCTATGGACAAGCAGCACTGGTGACGGGCGTTGCGGCAGTACCCCTGCCTTGGTGAGGGCAACAGCAATCCGATGGAACAGCGTGACCCACTCCTGATAATCGATACTTCAGACTGATGTGATCAACCCCAAAGGCGGCTTTGGAAGTACGAGCTGCTCCAACTTATATTCCGCAACATCTCCGAAGAGTTGCGATCCCTCTGCAAGCAAGCAGAGACAGCCAGCCAAATGTGCAATGACAGCGCAGCAGCGCGCCTGCAAACTACCAACCAGAGCACCCGTAAAAACTGTCATCGTTTGATCAACACCTCGGCCATGAGTCTTGGAGCAGGCAATCGGTAAGGGTGTTGAAGGTGGCAACTGACACCATTCGCCATAGTTGCCTGGCACGGCAACCTAAAACAGTTTGCTCCCTGCTACTTCAGTTCCGCTTGTGAGGAGGGTGAAGCACGCCCTGCACGGAGAAGATTGCTGAGGCCCCTTTTCTTCGGGTTCGTTTAACCCGTGTTCTACTACGCGGCCGTGCAGCGATGACATGCAGGAAGGCGGACCGCGCGAACACCGTGTACAACGTGAAAATCAAGGCACCTGCCTTTTCTTTTGCTTTGTTCGCGCTGGGGCGATGCTTGCCTCAGCCAGTTGCCTGTCGACCTCGACATTGACGAGGATGAGGAACCAGCTTCGGCAGAGTCTGGCGAGGCAAGTGCACGCCTGCTGTTTCAGCAGAAGGCTCCAAGAGAGTCGCAACATTCAGCACTCAACACGCACAACTGCACCAGCCGACGCATCAGTTCGTTCGTTCTGGTGCGTAAACTAGAGCCAGCAAGAGGTCTGACCCATCAAACGTGTCGAGAGCTGACAGCCAAGGCTTTCTTAAAGCGGTCATTTCAGGCTATCCTAAGTTAGATAGCCGGGCCCGATTTAGCTTGGTTTTTGCATCCGCCGTCTTCCAATACAGTTGTTGTGAATCTTTATGGTACGCACACTGCTGGGCTTTGCTTCCACCAGGCTACGGCTCCAGCGGCCGAAGCTGAGCAGGGTGAGTCCAAGCCAGAGGCAAATGGGAAGCATGAGAAAGCATTGTCTGCAGCACATGCCACGGAGTCTTGTAGAGCAAAGCTACACAACAAGTCCGGATTGTAGCGAATCGGTATGGAAACTGTGGTGCTGCCTTTCGCGCTTCTTTGTGTGGATTTGTGGGCGGCCGTTTCATCAGAAATGAGGTGCAGGAAACTCGTGCACGTCATGCTCGAGGACCGGGCTCTGACAGCAGTCCATCTTGTGGCAACGGTGACATGCGGCGCTTGTCTTATGTCTTAGCTTACTGATGCCCATGGTCTAGAACGCACAGTGGTTTGTGCCCGGTGCGTTGAAGTGAACGAAGCACGAATCAGGAAAAACAGCAGCACGAAACAGGAAAAACAGAAGCACGAGTCAGGAAATACAGAAGCACGAGTCAGGAAAAACAAAACGCACGAGTCAGGGAAAAAAGCCCACAAGTCAAGAAATAGCCCGCGAGTCAGGAAAAAGACCTCGAATCAGCAAAAAGGGAAAGCACAAGTCGGGAAAAACCTACGAGTCAAGAGGAAGGCAGGTACAGACATACTGTACAACCAGCCTTTTTGCACCTTGCGATGAGTAGAAAGACACGACAGAGGGAAAGCCAGGTACAGGCATAAGAAAACGGGCTCAGAAAACAACCCCTTGTCACTCTGCGCAAAGCAGGAAGAAATAACAGCTGAGAGGGAGAGATTCCATGTACGCACATGTGTCAGAAGCCCCCTTCATCTTGCAAGAGAGAGAAAGAGAAGACAGTTGTGAGAGGGAAGAAAAGATACAGACATAAATTAAAGCCTGCTTTTCACTTTGCGACAAGTGGGAAGACATATGTTAGAACCACCCTCTTGTGCACTTTGCGAGAAGTAGAAAGACACCAGCTACAGACCGAGGTTAAAATTCACCTTGCCATGAGTAGCAAGACATGACAGAAGGAAAACCAGGTACAGACAGAGGTATAAACCACCCTCTTCTCGCGTTGCGATGAGAAGAAAGACATGACAGAGGGAAAGCCAGTTACAGGCATGTGTTACAACGACCCCCTTTCAGCCACCCCCTTTCGGATAGCGACAAGTAGAAAGACCTGACACAGGGGAAGCCAGGTACAGATATATGTTAAAATCACTCACGCTTCACCTTGCGATAAGCAGAAAATGCGAGAAGGTGGCGATTTTAACATATGTCTGTACCTGGTTATCCCTCTGTCATATTTTTCTACTTATCGCAAGGTGAAAGGGGGTGGTTTTAACATATGTCTGTACCTGGCTGGCTTTCACTCGTAGACAGAGGGAAAGCCAGCCAGGTACAAACATGTGTTACAACCCCCCCTCTGCACCTTGCGATAAGTATGAAGACATGATCGCTGAGAGGGAGAAAGCCAAGTACGCACATATGTCAGAAGCCCCCTCTATCCTGCAAAAGATAAACAGAACTTTTCACGTCGCAATAAGTAGGATGCCATGGCAGGGCAAACCTGGTGCAGACATGTGTTACAACCACCCCCTGTCACCTTGTGATAAGTAGGAAGACATGACGCAAGAAAAGCCAGCTACAGACATATGTAAAAACCACCCCCTTGCTCCCCTTGCGATAAGTAGAAGGACATGACAGAGGGAAAACCAGGTATAGACATAAGTTAAAACCAGCCCTGTTGCACTCCTTTGCACCTTGCGATGAAAAGAAAGACATGACAGAGGGAAAGCCAGGTACGGACATATACAAAAACCACCCGCTTTTCACTCTGCGCAAAGTAGGAAGACCTCACAGCTGAGAGGGAGAAAGCCATGTACGCACATGTGTCCAACCCAGTGGTTTTAACATTTGTGTGTACCTGGTTTTCCCCTCTGTCATGTCTTCCTACTAGTCGCAAAGTGCAGAGAGGCTGGTTTTAACCTCTGTCTGCGCCTGGTTTTCCCTCCGTCATGTCTTTCTACTTGCCGCGAAGTGAATATTAAATAGGGGATGGTTTTAACATGTGTCTTCCCACTTATCGCAAAGTGAAAGGGGGTTTTAACAGATGTCTGTACCTTTCTTCCCTCTCTCAACTGTCTCTTCTTTTATCTCTTGCAAGATGAAGGGTTGTTCACCTTGCGATAAGTAGAAAGACATGACGCAGGAAAAGCCAGCTACAGACATACGATAAAACCACCCCCTTAGTTCACCTTGCTTGCGAGAAGTAGAGACATGACAGAGTGAAGACCAGCTACAGACATATGTTAAAACCCACCCTCCTTGCACCTTAGCATAAGCCCTTTTTTTCCTACCTCACACCTTTTCTTTCTCCTGACTCACGCCTCAACCCTGCAATTGAACAGCAACCCCTGCTCACAGCCAATCTTCTTCAGCCACCTGAGCTTGCAATGCCAGACTCTTGCAAGTGAGGCGAGGAGAAGAAGCAGACACTTGCCGAACGCCTGGAAGAGGATTGGAAGAAGTTAGGAACCAAGCCGGTTTTGCGTGGTAGGAAGCCAGAGCACGGAGAGAGGTCACTGTGGCACATTGTGACGAATTGGGTCTTTAGTAAGTCTAGCAAGTACTGTATGAGAAGTCGGGGCCGACCTGTGCATCCCGGGTAGATGGAACTGCTTTTCTGCCAGCTTTACCTGATAAGGCCTCAGCTCGTGTCTCCAACCGAAGGCTTGACAGTTGCGCAGCTCAGCTGAATGTGAAACAAGACATGCTTACAGCGGAGTTGGCAGCGGTGGCTGAGGAAAAGCAAGTTCACGGCTTGGGCCGCAGGTTTGCAAAGTCGGCTTGAGACTACAAGCCAAGTGCCTGTCAGAGTGATGTCTTTTGCCATGGACACGCATGTGACCATTCTCGTCAAAATTACAATCACGCTGCCCTGCTCTTCGATGAGGCCTTTGGTGGGCTGCGCAAAGGCGAAAAGTTCACGATGGACAAAGCCGTCATCGTTCGAAGCCAGGCATCTGCTGAAATTATTGAAAGATGTTTAATGCGGAAGTGCCTCCACATAGGGCTGCTCAGGGCGTCACAGCACAGAGTACGCTTGGTCCGCGGCCCCCACCCTCCAACCACGCGCAGCCTGCATCATCGTGCAACCGGCGACAGAACGAGTATGCCCGGAAGGGCCAAAAAAGCTGATTCAAGAACAAGCGACCTGCTGCACATAATTGCAATTCCAGATTTGATTAGCCGGCCTACTTCGAAGGAAGGCGCTCCATCATTCATCATGGTTCGCTTGCAGCTGTGTAGCCTGGAATGCTGGCAGGCGCGTGCTCAGAAAGATGGTGACGAGGCAGCCATGGCTGGAACCCGTATACTGTTTGCATACCTTGCAGTCGAAGGGGCTACAATCCAGAGTGGGTTGTCTAGTGCATCAATAGTTTAGGAGTGTCCCTTGCAGGAGACTTACCGTTGGTCCGGGCCAAGCTGGCTGAAGGCACTGCCTTGGCTCACATTCATGAATTTCGAATGGCATCGCAGATGTGGACCTCCAGAAGTGCTGACCCTGGCTCACCGGCTCAGAACAGAAAGGTTGTGCTGCTGCCGGGAACCACAAAGAAAGCAACCTTGCAACCCTGCGCCACGTTTCCGTCGCCGGGCGCCAAAACGCCATGGGGTTGCTACGAGATATGCGGGAGAAGCTGTTCACACAGACGGGCCTTGCCTACGCCTTTGCGACGCTTGGCCTAGATGGGACTGAACCTTTGAAGTGTGCAATGTCGTTCTGGCACGCTGTGGTTGAGCTCTTGGCACATTGTCTTGGCATGTCTTGGCATGCTCCCGACACAGGGGGCCGACTTCGGAAATCTACGCTATCACGTGTCACATTATTTAACTCAGCTGACCTGTTCTGCACAGCGGATCCAAGGATTGGCACTGCTGTGTGGCTTGTCTGGCAAGACTGGATGCCTGACGATCCAGCATCCTACTTGGAGGGTCCCAGTGCTAAATCCTGTACAAAGTCGAGAACCTCAAGAGCACCAGCACTGTAAGACGAGCGCGGACATGGCTCAACAGCGGGCCAAAGTCACCACATACATGCTGCAGACAGGCTGCAGATGCTGATAAAACACAGCCCCGAAGTATGCACGGAAGGGACTGCTGACTGGCGAGGTGCTCCACAGCTGAGCAGCCAACTTCATTTACGTAAGACAGCAGAAGACTAGCCTCGTCGGCATTTTTCCTGGAAAGCCAGCGCTCACTGGGGAGCTAGATAGGGACCACGAATTGAAGAGTCATCCCGCAGCCGCACCCCCTCGCTGTAGAGAGATGTAGCGTAGAGCCCGCTGTAAAAGCAGTAATTACCGGAGAAGCTGTGTTTGCAGGGCCCGTTACAGGACAGTAGGTACCGGAGCCAACTGTTACTTTGAGCACCCAATCGGAATAGCCGAATGGGGAAGCACTATACTGTAGGGCTTCATATTGGAGACGGATTGAACATGATAATTAGATCGAGAAAAGATGAGTCGTCAAGTTCCGAGTTTGCAAACAAGATCACAACAGTTTAAGCCCGTAAGAAATGAGATCAAATATGAGGGGAAAAGGGTAGTGGATCACGGATCCAAAATACAATCAATCAGCCACTTAATGAACTTAGAAATTTAGCCGCTCAGCTGTTGGAAGGGATGTGAGTTCAGAAACGCAGGTGCAGCTTGATTCTGATAATTGCCGTTGATTTTCATTTGGCAAACTCACAACTCAGGTATGTGGTCTGGGATTTAGTCCTGGAAGCCCTGGCTAAGCGGGCGGCGGCAAAGCACAGAGCACTCATGGCAGCATGCCTAAACTTGAGTTGCAAGCAGCTTGTTCTATCCTACAGCAACCATGATGTTTACATGAGCTTGCCAAGAGGCTCTAGATACGACTTCTTACTGTGAGTAGGAGAGGTGCATGGGCCACACATGGCATAAATGACAGCATGGTGAGCTTGCGCAGAGTACCAAGCAATATACTAATGCAAACTGCGGCTTCGCTTGGATTTTTTGGAACTGTGCTATCTTGGAGTTGGTCTTTCCACTTTCTCTGATGATTCAAATTCTTGGCTTGCGTGAGCTTTGGGCAATCTGTTCTTGCCACGCTCGGAGCTTGTCTCTTAAGCTAGGATGACAGTATCTAATCATCAGCCTGACCTGCGTTCTTGACGGGTCTGCCCAGCGTCATTGGGATTCTTATTTGTTGTACAATACTTGAATTCTTCAAGAAGGCCTCCAACACATTCAGAATCGACGATATACAGTAGGTTCGCCCTCGCCTCTCTTACAAATTCCGCTTGATGTCGTTCTCATTATCACTGCTGCTGTGTTTTATGGATCTTGCATTCTGCGCACTTCACCGCTGAAAAATCGTTGCTAGTTGTGATGCGTGAACCTTCGTCATTTCATGTATTCTTGGTGTGACTATTCATGGTGTCATATTTGGATAATAACCAATCGAGTCCTGTAAATATCTTTTGTTTGCTCCGGCCGTGTGCTTTGTGATTCTCTCTCCCAATCCATGTTCGGTGCTGCAAGAGAACATTTCGAGGGGAGGGAGGCAGAGGGGGAGGCGTGAGGGTGAGGAGGGAAGGAGATGGCAATACACGCCCAAACCGATGCGTCCTCGAACTCTGGTTCCTGGCTCCTATCATGTTATTGTAACGACGTTCAAAGTGATGATAAAGTAGCATCCACTCGTGCTTCCTGGTAGCTTTCATGGGTTGTCGCTTTGCCCTTCAAATTTTGGTGAAAACTAAAATGGAATGATATTGTCAGATTATGTGCGCGATGAAGCTGGGGGTACTGCAATAGCACGGCCTCGAAGATTTGATGCGTGGCACCTTGAGTCCACCTTGAATCAAGGAGAAGGTGCATGTGGAGCCACGTGATTGGCGGGAGGAGGAACTTTTGCCCTACGACGGCAGCGACAAAGAGAAGCCGACGCCAGTTGGCAAGAGATGCCAATTTTTGTATGGAAGATGCGATACTCTTAGGCAAGCGCAAAGAAGAATGCAGTCTCCAAATTAGAGTGTTGGAACCTGCGCAGAGAAGTGCTAAGCTTTTTGTAGGAAATACCCGAGAACGACAAGTGCGCTGATGAATGTGCCAAACAAGTATGCTTCGAGTTGGGGTAGCAAGAAGGCATGGCGTGTAAATAGACGCAGGTTGATGCATGTACAAGTAACATCTAGATTCTAGAAGCTCCGTCAGACCAAAGACTGACCTTCACTGAATGCGCAGTATTTCTCTATTCGAACCCCACTGCCTAATCTACCCCTGAGCCTCGCACCCCCTCCTGATTGATTGGGCTGCTGTACCTGGCAGCTAAGGCTGCTGGTTGGCATAGATGGCACCATAGCCGCAACCAAGCCCCCTGCCCCAGGTGAGGTGCGCAGTGTGGCAAGCTGATGACTGTAATGTGGATCAGGACAAACCTCCTGCGCATTGCCAGAAGAACTACAGCTAAGGTGAAGTTTTCAATGTATGGAGGGGCTGGCACTTTTATGGAAGCGGCGCTCCCTACAACGGCTTTGCAGGGAAGGATGCGACACGACTTTTGGCAAAGCAAATCGTCAGCCAAGAAGAAGATGACGGAAAGCCTTTGACCGACGAGGCTGGATCATCATTCTGCCATGGGCAAGGCTCATCAAGAGCAGAAGCAAGCTTATTAGGCATATGCCAGTTCATGACAGAAAAATCCACAGGAGTGATCTGACAAAGTGCTTGTATCATGGTGTCATGGGGTCATGAGGTAGAATCACTGAAATAATGTTTCAGGGGAGTTGATGCTTTTTGCCTCGTCCGGGCCTGCATGGCCCTGGCTACATGTTTCTCAGCAGTTGTGACGGCAACAGCGTGACCAAAGTAGGAAATAACGAATGTGTGCTTTTTGTCGCGATAGAAAGCACTTTCGTTATTTCCGTGGCAGGAGGTTGAGAACATGCAGAACTGGAAAGAGTACTTTCGATACAAGTACGATGTGGCTGGTAAGCTGGTTGCATGATCGAGAACAAAGCCAGTGCGCAGCGGATCGCAGCGGCTGAGTGGAAGGGGGCGGACTGATTCTGCGGCTTGTGCAGCTGTCTGTGCCATATGTACAGGGTGTAGGACCTCGAAGCTTACGCCTCTCCTTGGTATCACGTCAGCTGCTTGAAAAGTCAACGCACGATGCTGTAGGGATGCCCGAAGAGTTCATGTGAATTCCTTGGCCTACAATGCCGCTGCGCTCCATTTACCGCAGACATACCATTCTGGAACATTGTCATGTGTGCTTCGCCAAAGAAATCTTAGAGTTGGGGGCTCCAATGAGACAACTGACACATCGTCATTTGACTCCTGTGGCATGCATACATAGGGCGTGTGCTGACCTCAGCACTTCATTTAAAAATGCGCCAGGGGCAAATCCACGCTGCCGTCTTTTGCCAGAAGGGCCAGAAGTCCGCCGCGGACCCAACGCCGAATCAGGACATCGGGCCCAGCTTGAAGCCTTAGCAAGCTTCCAAACCATGCAAGATAATGGTGCAATCGAGATGCAGTTTTCATGGGGTTTCACAGGTGGGAGCATGCACGTATTGCAACAGATGTTTGCCAGGTGACCTGCCAACTGCCTTCATCTAACTTGAGCGGTACTGTCAGTTGATTGCAGTTCAGAATTCTGCCCCCGCAAGAAGCCAGGCAACATAGGTGTGCTGACAGGCCTGGCAGGCCTTATGGCAAACACGCACCCTGCAACACATGCTGCCAACCGCATAAGCTACGAGAAATCTCTATGCGCACATGCTGCTGTACTAGCACGCCCGCCAGACTCACTGCACAGAGCTTGACACTTCGAGGACAATTACTTCGCACTTCATGCCCGCACCTGAGCGCAAGAAAAACTGACTTCACAGCTTAGACTTTGATGCATGCATGAAGCCGGCAGAGGATTCTGGCTTCTGAGGTTGGCAGCATTGGATTGTATGGCGTTTGTGATGGGCATGGCCCATTCGGACACCTCGTCTCCTTCCGGCTTGTGAGGTGCTTAGAGGATCTTAGAGGTTTGCCTCCGACTTTGCAACGTTCTTACACGGCAGCGTGAAGTGAGAGTAAGAAGCAATTCTTTGGGGAGGCTTTGATTCCGCCGTTCATCCCCCTGCAACTTGTGCAATGGCAGGTCCTTTGTTGGCTAGGCTGTACCCTTACCTCAGGCGAATTTTGTTGACATCAGCCATCAACAGCATAAGCCGATGCACACGTTGCAAACTGCTGCACTCCAAGTGATGCTGTCACGAATGTCTTGGAGAATGGTTGATGTGGCGAACATCCCTCATTGCTGTGCAGCAGGCGTACAGGCATACAAGCTCAAGCGGGGCCTTGGCAACACACATAGCGCAGCGACGGAAGCAGACAGCGTTGCTACGAAGAATGCCCACACTGTGATTGGAGACATCTCCTTGTTTTGCAGGATGATGAACATGACTTCGACATGCGACCTGCCAGCCTCGACCAACCCTGCACCCTGCTTCCCACACATACTCCCAAAGAGTGTCACCAGACTGCACGTTGCTTCCAGGGACTACTTGTACTTGTTGTTGTTGTTGTTGTTGTTGTTGTTGTTGCAAGGCCCTGCTTTAGTTTCAGGTGCAGGCGTTACCACATTACATTACGACCAACCCGAACTGGGGTGAGGCACAGGGCCGCACGTTTCCACTTGTCATGTTGCTGTCCTGCAATTAACAATTGGTAGTGTCTAGACTTGATGTAGCTTGCTGCTGCATCTTCAGCAGATGACGTTACCGAGCGACGGAGCTTGCAGATATGCAGAGACGCGAATTAGAGTCTAATGGATATGACACATCCAACTCAGCATGGAGAGCTGTGCAGGACTGGGCCACCTGTTTGAAGGAGGCCTTCCTCGCATCCCAGGCAGATCTCCTCAGGCTTGCAGCCTCAGAAGGCCTGCAGCTCAGTGGGTCCATGGGGCGAAGAAACGGATTCACAATCGAAGCCTGGACAGCGACACTAGGGGAGAGCAGCTTGTTGGCGGGCCCCTCACACAGGCATCAACCTCGAAGCTTCGGGTGCAGCCGGGACAGTGCTGGTCTTCGAGGTGACTGAGAAGATGCAAAAGTATTGGAAAGTGAACTAGAGCTCTTGATACCCTGATACGCTTATCTTCGAATAGTCATGTGGAGCCGCATGACAGACTTTCGACGAGTCCCGCAAGAGAAGCTGCATGCAGGGTCCGTGCATCCACGTCGCTCACATTGGCGATGCAGGCCAAGATAAACGCAGTCAAGTTAGCACAGCCATAGACCACATTTTACGCTGCCTTAGCGAAATCATTGAAGAAGGAGCTGTGATTAGCTGTACTGTGCCTGGGTTAGAACCTCCGGTGGCCAGCTAAGCAAGCACGAGCACGCCCGGCTGCATACTCAATGCAAACGGAGCGAGTGTTTTTGATAACTGCGCCCATGTGCCAGGATGCCTTGTAGCTTCCTGGAGCCGGCACGATTCTCGGATCCTGCACGGTACCGAGGAGCCTCGGAGGGGGGGGGGAGGGGGGCAACTTACAAGAGCTGCAAGAGCGTTACGGGTGCAGATGATGTGTTTGCACCTTCATGACGAGTAGCGTGGGCAGCGCGTCAGTTCTTGTCACGCGGCGGGAAAGTTCAAGCAATGCATTGAGAGAAGCCAGCTCGAGTTGTGTGCCAGCATGCTGCTTGAGCGCAACCCTTCGGATTCAACTCTTTGGGGCCTGGCAAGGATCACAAACCCAACAACCCAGAAGAACGGCAGCGGCTAGAGGCAGCTGGAAGCGAAGTCCGACAGGCCAGCTCCAAGTGAGATCCAAACATTCCGATCAAGATTTTTGTGGGACCATGAGGCCCTGCGGAATTTCGGTACTCCACATGCGCTCTCCAATGTCCTTCCTTGTCCTTTCAGCATTGACGCAAGTACAACTTGGTCCTCGTCCTAGCAGTGAAAGGAGTATGAACGGGACAATCTCATGAAAACTTATTAGTGCAATTTCGTCCAGGGTGCTTCACACATTGCCATTTTCTGTTGCAGTCTTGAAGGGCTTTCTGCTGCTGCTTGTACTTGCGCCAAGATGATTCTCAAAATACTTGACGAGATGGGTGTGAGTTCACGCCTTGTTCCCAACCGCGCAGGTGGTTGGTAATTAACAAATATTCTTCAGCCTCAGTTTTGAGCGTCGAGGAAGTTGCTGTGGGATCCTGATACGCTGGCTGCGATGCCCTCAAGATTCATGGCAGGTGGATGTTGACAGCTTCAGGATTTACATCAGAGGCACGAACTTCCCTGGGCTGACGATGCAGTGTGCTGAGATCCGATTGCAGCACCGGATGAAGTTGTGGACGAACAATTCCAAGCTCCAGCCACCAAAGGCTTGTCTTCAGGCCATTTGCAGGTTTCCTCCGGGCCAATCACGCTGTGACAAAACTTACGTTACCAATCCCGATATTTGCAACTGCTGGTGGTGATGAAATGAGGACTATTAGCGGGTGCATTGAACTATAAGTCTGATGCCGCATTCAGTAAGCAGAGGCCTCCCAGCAGCTTCTCCTGCACATGTGGCAGTGTCAAAGTTCAACGAGGGCTCAGGTTTGCAGTTACAGTAAGGGACTGTAGGATGAGGAGTTGGGGGGCTTGTCCTGTGAAATCTTGGCAGCGGCTGCCCGCGGCTGTTTGCAGATGCAATTCTGCGTCCAGTTCTGGAAATACCTGAGGTCACGTGCATTCGGCGACACCGCGTGCGCAGGTGTGCTTCAGGCATCCCATCCCCTTTTATTGTTCCAAGGTAGACTAGAATTGCGACATGGGGTTGTTTAGAAGCTCGCCTAGGAGCCGCACTATGAGCGAATGTTCATCCAGCCGTCAGATGAGTGTCTGGGCAGCATGCTTGAGTGAGTACGCTATTGGATACACAGGCGGCCGATTTTTTGTTCTCCTGTGGTGCAACCAGGGTGTATGCTGTTCTCGCCTCCGATGGCATTTGGGAGTTCATTGACTATGCCAAAGCCGTCGACCTTACGTCCAAGAAGTTGGGACCCAAGCGAACACAGGATGGCGATTTGGCATGGCGACAGTTGAAGCCCCGCTTGTTGCTGAGGCTTCGCTTGAAAGGTCCCAGGGAGGCCGGGCTTCATCTTGACGCTGACTTTTGAATAAAGATACCGCTATCTGGCTTTCGAGCTGTCTCGTACAGAAGCCAGATGCTGCAACAAGGCCCTCGAAGCTTCAGGTCATGCATATTCTCCCCTGATAGAAAAGATCCGCCCGCCTAGCCTTGGCAAGAGCCAGCAGCAAAAGTCGAATTCAGTTGAGCAGAGGCGGCTCGTCACCTTGTCGATGCAAGTCGGTTGGAGACTTACTGCCAAGAGCATCCCTCACGCTTTGAATACCTTTTGTCCAGACAAGCAAACTCGTTACCGAGAAGCTTCCACATGGACATGCGCAACGCGTAGAGCTGTGCGGTATAAAGGTTGGCCGCTCCCAAGCACAAAATAATATCTATCAGAATGCTATGCACACTAACATTTCATGCAGCCATTTAATTGCGACAGGTGAACACAAAAGCTTACAGGGACGCAAGATGTTCCCCGTAACTGAACTGGAATTTCCTTAACTTTTCCTGTGCCATCATGGCCCTTGGGTGCGAGCATGATGTGCTGATTCGTGAGCAGAAGACATTGACATGAAATCGCGATTTTGCCTCAATCAAGGGCATTCCAGGACGAGGCTCATTATCAATCGCTTTCGCAAGTACCGCCTCGGCGAGGGCAATGGGGAAGGGCCTGCACTTTAAAGCTGCTTGTCATGGCTTCTCCTCGAGCAACTGGGTGTGCTTTCTGAAGTTGCCTGGTTTTGCTTCCTGCCCCAGTCCCATCATGACTGCCAGCAAGCTCCACGGCTCCTCAAGATGTGGCTGTAGGTTGTGAGAGGATGGGGTTGGGGCGGGAGGAGGAAGAGAAGTTGGAGACTGCAGCAAGCGGAACGCTTGCCTCCCATGACGGAACAGGCATCATGGCAAGGAAACCTGCAAAATGATCCAAGACCTCACAGGAAAGTCGAGCTCAAACGCGTAGGACAAATACCGACCCCGTGCCCAAGAAGCCAACGCTCCAGGCCAGAGGCCTCGGAAGCCACTACACAACAGCTGCTGCTTAATTGGTTGGCCTTAGCGTCTACATAGGAATGAGTGAGCATGTCACACGTCTGAAATCATGCACTGTCAGCGCTGTCTGAGGAAGCGATGGGCAGCCTACTGTGGCGATTACTGCTTCCACCTCAGAGGAAATGGGTAGTGATGCGTAAGGTTGCCTATGCTTGGTATACTTGTGATTGGGCTTTGCAAGCCTGCACTTGCTGCAGCTGCTGCATCGAGTGCCATAGCGCTCACAAGACTGGACAAGGAAGCTGGGTTCAGCAATTTTCTTGGCTTTCCACGTAAGTGCAACAGCGTAGCACATTGGTGCTTGATTACCTATATATTGGATACAGGTAAAACGTACGGCAAAGGGCGGGCTTGGAAGTCGCTTGGATGTGCGGCGGCAGCACGCGAAACGGAATCACAAGCCTCGTTCAATTACCATGACAAACAAAGCCTTGCCAAACAGTGCAATTCTGAATCGAACCAGACTCACAGGAGAATGTACTTTGATTGCCTAATTAGCTCATAGAGTGGCTTGCATTTGCAAGAAGGAACAGGAGGTACAAGTAGCACTCCTGACGTGGTCACCTCACAGGTTGCCTTTGTGCACGTGCTCTCGCAGTATGGATAGTAGAACTTGCATTCATGCTCTAGATGATTCTATTGAAGAATGGCTCTGGACATGCAAAGGCGATGATATCACGGCCATGGTTGTGAAATGGAACGTCAATGTGAAGGTCCGTATGTGTCTTTCTCACTCGCGTTGCTTGACGCTGGAACGAATGAAGCGTGTCATCAATGCGGTGCGATTTTGGCAGGGAACGGACTCGAACGACAACCACGAGTTCACGCTGATTCGCCCACAGACTCTCGAATGCATACCACACGAGATCACTGGCACGCAGCTCATCGCACCACAGTAGTCACAAGGTGATGGACGGTCGACGGCCGCCTGTTTAGTGAGCTCCTTGCCATGGGAAAAGCCCCAACAAATTGGCGAGTTTGGCAATACTTTCACAAATTAGAAGGCTGTCAGCCAGAGGACCTGCCTAAGTCCAGGTATTACAATCTTGAATTAAATTATTGATTGCGTTATGATGATCTTGGAGACCTCAGAAATCGGTGTCTATAGATAGCAAGCATTACAAGCGAAAGTGCTATGCTCAAAGTGCCATGCTCACCGCGATACCGAAGAACTAATCATGCGAAAAAGACGCGGGCCCGAATGATCAATAAGAAGATGGATTCAATAGACGCTCTGGAGGAAAAAATTATCCGATAATTAAATTATCAAATATATATATATATACGATAATTCTTAAATTTATATATTGGATGAATCCATATGAGCAGAGATCAAAACCCTCTAGTGGGAAATCCATTAGCGAGTGGCAGTAAGGACCTTGCCGTAAGCAAACGTGCGGGTTTCGTAAGCTACCATAAGCAAAATCGTTCCGTATATTGCGCCGTAAGCTTTTACTTGGGCTCTCCACGTTGCCGCCGTAAGCGCTTATTAAGAAAAGCGAGCGCCGTAAACTAAACTTTGGGTTTTATAAGCTACCATAAGCAAATTCCTTATCGTCAAAGAAACCGGATAGAGGTATTGATCGTCGCTCATATGGAATCTAATGAATTCTTTATGCGTCAATAATCGGTCTAATGACTATCGCTGCTAATTATCTATCGGAGGGAACAAGCCTTTGCATTTAAATATTTAGAATTTGTTGGCATAATTCTATTTGTTATACGCTCCCCTGATTCGCCGCTTAATAATTAGCTTAAGAGAGATAAGGATAGCGGAAATTCTGGCTTGGAGACTTTGGGCCGCAGATATAAAGATTCATCTTTCTTTGATTATCTATGTGATTGATTATATAGGATAATCGTATCTATCTACGGATATTAATATGCTCTTCTGATCTGTCGCGTTATAACTAGCCCCAAAATAAAGAAATGAATCGGATAGATCGGGTCGGAACCCTAGGGCTAAACGAATAAAATTTTCTCGAGATTTGGAATCCTAGTAGTTGCATATATTGTCTCCTATATAACCCCTTTTTAAGGAATTTAGATTATAGCTCTCATGACTAGGGGTTTAGGATTTTGAGTTTAGGGGGTAAATTCCTAATAATGGGGGAGGGTATGGGGATTATATAGGAGACGATTGGAAGCATTTTTCTAATATCTCTGACTTGCAAAAGGCTTTTGATCTCTCAGGCTCATTTTGTATCGGCTAGTTGATTGCATTTCCAGGACCAATTCTCCCAATATAGGATATTTCGGCTAGGGATCCTTAAGACCGAGAAAATGAGCCATAAACTAATTAAACTATTAGTATCCCCCTTAAAATCCCTTAGAGTGGTCCCCTTTATGATTCCCTATATAATCCTTTTTCGGAGTGTAGATTATAGCTCTGATAGTAGGATTCTTTAGCTTCTGAAATATATATATTTATTAATATTCCCGGGGAACCCGATATGAACCATAATCTAAATTAGTATCTCTCTTAAGGAAAACTATAATTCATATAAATTCAAAAAAATATCCTTCTTCAAGGCACGCATGATATTATTTCAAAATATCTGTCGACAGACTTAGGAGATTCCCCAGTAACCCCTGACAAAAATTACTCTCCAAAAAAACGAGGGAGAAAGGGTACCGAACGGATACCTAGGATTCTATGATATAAATCCAAATGATTACAAGCGCAACGCCTCTGATAGCTGGCCAATTCTAGACATGAAGGAATACGTAGAGGAGGGTTATATTTTGGGGTTCCCTTCTAAGGGGTTTTAGCGGCATATAGGGAGCAATAGGATTTGGATTTAGGGCTACTTATACAGTACGGCCTCCAATCTTTAGGGGAACCCCATATAGGAGGATTTCAAGATCAGCGCCTTCGGATATCTAAGGGGGGCTTGTGCATGGACTGCAGGGGACCAATCCCTTCTTAAATAGCCGCTCGCCCCATCTTTTAGAATCTATAGGCTAGTCGTTTTTGATCGGCGATAAAAATTCTTCGGACTAGAAAGAATATCATTTGCTATATTAGCTTCTTATAACTAATATTCTCCCGTATTAGATTGGTAGCCCTCGACTTCAAAAGATCGAGGATCGCTCAGGATTCGAGATCTCAAATTATGAGGAAATAGGATTTGGAATTCTAAGGATTATTTTCTTCCGCATCAATTCGTTTATCGTTATGCGTATATTCCAACGACGATATTTCGTTGCTATTAATAGCGGATCTATTCTAGTTATATTATATTCATCTATCAATCATTTTCTAAATAAATATAAATAGATTTCATATGAAATTCTAATATGAATATATTTTTCGAGAAAATCTAAGAAGACTATATATCCTAATAATTATATATCGTAAATATAGGAATTTAATCATTTCATAGATGAATAAATATTCGTATTAAAATAGAAATATTTTAAAAATTGATATTTATGAAGATAGACGATATAAAGATCTTAGAATTAATGTCTTGCCTATTATAACGGAAAATATTTGATTGAGAAAATCTATAATGAAAATAATTGATTGAGAATATATATCATAGGAAATCTGATGAATGATAAAGATATATAATCGCATATAGCTATATTGACTAATCTAAAGATTTGGATCTCTGCCCCGGATTTATACGTTCTCCCGAACCGTCGCGAATTTCAAAGAGAGATAAATGATTCGAAATCTCGGGAGATTCTTCATCGCGGGTATCCCCGAGCCGGCCCGATCTTTCCGCTTCATCTATCTCTCTTGGGCTATCTGCGCAGGGGATCGAGAGAGCGTATAAATCCGCATAGAGATATATGAATTATCTATAAATTTTGAAAGATATTGAAGCTTCGTCTCGGGTCTATATATTATATCACGCAGCCACGTAGATTGCCAAAGAGAGATAAATCACGCGGAAAATCATTCCGGAAGCAAGGATTGCGCGACCAAAAAATCTCCGAGATTCTTGGTTGCGCCGCCTGCACCGCAAATCTCAAAAGATTTCAGAATCTCTAATAAAATCTCCGAAATTTTGGAGCTCCTAGGCCTCCCGGAGGGATATTTTAGAGCTGAGCCGGAGAAGCTAGGGCGCGTACGAGCGAAATGATTGCAAATATTTGCGCCGTATTATTGACGTTATGAGATAATTAATGAATGATCAATATATAAGATTCTATATATCAGAAAATCAATCATTCTATAGATTCTGAAAGATTTTTGATCTCGACCCAGGATCGTCATATTCCGCCGAGCCGTCGCACAAAATGATTCGAAATCTCGGAAGATTTCGCGTCGTGCGGCCCCGCATCCGGTCCGGTCTTTCCGTCTCATTTATCTATCTGCGCAACGGCTCAGGGGAATAAATAGATCCGCATAGATAGATATAATCAATCTATGAATTCTGAAAGATTTTAATATCCGTCGCGGGTCTATGCGTTCCGCCGAGCAATCGCGTAGGCAACGAAAAAGAGATGAATCCTATATAAGATAGATCCGGAAATAAGGGTTGCGCGACCAAAAATCTCCGAGATTTTTCTTATATTGCCCGCACCAAAAATCTCAGAAATTTTGGAGCCTCTCCTTTCTCCGAAAGGCTCTAAAATCTCCAAGATTTTAGAGTTGTTAGGGAGTCCGCAAGAGGCGTTTCAGAGATGAACCGGAAAGCCACGTGCGAACGAAATGGTCGTAAGAGGCCACGCCGCCCTATTGAGATATGAGATATTGGATATATATTCTTTATAGATAGGATGAATTTTCTATAAATTAATTTAAGCTAGAATTGGCCCGCTGCTTGCAGCAGCGTAAAATAGATATTTGAAGAAAGCTTATAATGAGAAATCTGAGCAAGAAGCAATATACAAGATCATATGAGAAGTCCGATGAATTATCAATTTTTTAAGACCGTATGGGATATTCTCAGATAGTTTTTTTCCGGCTCATCTTTAATATGCCTCCTGCAGGTTCCCTTGGGACTTCAAAATCTCGGAGACTGTAGAATCCTTCAGAAAAGCTAGAGGCTCCAAAATCTGCGAGATTTTTGGCGCGGACGGCTTGACCAAAAATCTCGGAGATTTTTTGGTCGCGCAATCCTTGCTTCCGGAATGATTTTCCGCGTGATTTATCTCTCTTTGGCAATCTACGTAGCCGCGTGATAGAGCGTAAAGACCTGAGACGAAGGTTCAATATCTTTCAAAATTTATAGATGATTCATATATCTCTATGCGATTTAATGCGTTCTCCCGATCCCTTGCGCAGATAATCTAAGAGATAAAGATCTATGAGATGGAAAGATCGAATGGGATGCGGGGGCCGCGTGATCCGAAATCTCCCGAGATTTCGATTTATTTCTCTCTCTAGTTGGGTTAGAAATCTTTCAGAATCTATTAGATTGGTCGTTTTCGTTGACGTGCGGTCTTATTGATTATTCGTCGGAATTTACGTGCGATCTTGTATATTCCGCGAAATCTATATCTCTTTGATTGGCGGAGGAGCGTATAGATCCGAGATACAAAATCAAAATCTTTCAGAATATATAAATTTCATAGAAATTTATGAATTCTCCCGACCGCCGCGCAAAGAATCCAAGAGAGATAAATGAGATAGAAAAATCGGATTGGATCCGCGGATCGCATAATTAAAAGACCGTACGACCAAAGATTTGCCAAGATTGAGGATTATTTCTTTTTCTTTAGGTCGCACGCGAATGAAATTGCCATAAATGACCGCGCCGTAATATTGAGATATAGATATTTATGTATTTAAATATTGAAAAGATATAAGAATTATTTCCGTAGATAAATAGAATGAGAAAAATGGAGATTCCAAAAAGAAATGATCAATTTATATAATTCCAAAAAATAGATGATGAATCCAATAAATTAACGAATTCGATTTTGGGAACCGGCGTAGTCGGGCGAAGGATTTAAGGCTTTCATTAATAATCCGAAAAGATAAAATTCATATCAGAGATTAAAAATATCTAAATAAGAAATATTGAATAAATGGAAAAAAATGAATAAGATGAAATATAAATAGATAGAAATCAATTCTCTCAAATATTCATGGATTTCTCGAAAAATATATTAAATATTTCGATTTCAATAATTTATAGAAATTCTATTTCTTTTATAAAAGAAAAATTCGAATGGACCCGTTGTTCATAGCAGCGGAGCATCGTCGTTGGAGTATACTCGCAACGGCAAGCGAGCTGATAACGAAGAAGATAATATGTGGAACTCCAAACACTACGTCTTTCTAATTTGATATTCCGAATCCTGAGCAAGCGTCGGTATTTTGAAGTTGAGGGCTCTAGCAGCAGCTGAGGGAATTACGTATTTAGGGATATTAATATCTCTATTAAATTGATCTTCTATCAAGCACGTATCCATCTCGAGGTATTCCTGAAGGGACGGATTTGTGGATCGGAGCCCAAAGATTTGGAAAAATATCTCAGATACTGACGATATTTTCCCAGGTAATCTAATATAATGTATTTCTATTTTTTTAGTATCTGCCTATATATATTACCTTCTACGGATATATGAGATTCTAATTTCAATTCGAAACCCGTGACGTGGCTCTGCTTCCCTCGTAGACAGACCGAGAGGACTCTATTCCCTTGATATTTCATATATTATCGTATAAAAATTATTTATTGGAGGAGAATATCATCAATTCTTTCTATCTTAGCAAATATTAGTCTTACTAGTCGCGGTTATTTCAGCGTTGATCAAAAACGATTAATCTATAAATCTATAAATTCTGAAAGCTTTTGATTCTCCTTCTCAGATCTATATATTCCGCCGAGCCATTGCACAAATATCCAAAGAGAAAGAAATAATTCGAAATCTCAAAAGATTTTTATTCGCGTAGCGCGGCGCGGCAAATCGAAAAACCGTATAAATGTCCGTAAACGAATGCGACCAATTTAGAAATTTGAAAGATTTATATTCGCCATCTCGGTACTATATAGTCCACCGACCAGAGAGACGCATCCAGCCAAAGAGATATGAATCATGCGGGCGCCACTCCGAGAGAGAAAACAAGAGCCGCCATATAATCAAAGACGAAAAAATCATCTCATAATTTTCTATGAAATTCGGTTTTTTAATATTCAGAAATATATTATTATTTTCAAGGATAATCGATCTAATCTCTAAGAAATTTCATGTTGGTAGGAAAAAGTATAATAGAATCAATATGAGGATTAATATGATTTCTTGTATATAATCAATATATTAGATTTTCTGCATCTATGAAATGATATCTAGATATAATTTAGTTGCCGACCCAATTCTTCTTATGTATCTCATGCCCCGCCATTTCTACGACGCTTATTTCAAATCTCAATCTAAATGGAGACGATGAAGATCATCATCTAATTCATCTTTTTCTTATAGATCCTCTATCATAGGAGGATCGCCGAAGGCATCTTGTAACCCCAGCCTCCCAAGGCCGCTCCCATATTGATCTTTTTCCAATGTAGTGATGGTACTTTGCGACTGGATATACTTCAGCCGGTTGTGCTTCGCAACAACCTGCCGGGACAAGTAAGGCAAAGGTAAAAGGGCCAATAGTAATACGTAGACTACAACCCTTCATTAAGTCCGCAACCCAGAGGGTTAAGCTTGAGGTAGAATCACGGCAAACCCCTATCCACAGCCTATCCAAGATGCACTTCGCGAGTGCTAGGTATGTACAGTGAGGCGTTGCGCTGCCATCTCATACGGACTTGGCAGCCGAGTTGGCATTTGACGAAGCCACGGCATGTGCGCAGCTCCGGTTGCGTGTTTGCCCTGCCTCACAGAGCAGCTGCCGTACGCAGGAGGCCCGAGCCTGACTACTCCATCAGAGCTCCAGAGTCACCTCCTCAGTCGACTTTGCTGAGGATGGCTGGGGAGAACCTCCTGGTCGCGGGGAGCGCTGGTAATCTGGCCCCCTGGGCGTTTCAGTGGCCGTGCTTAGAGTCTGCAGAGACCTTAGTGTCTGCAAAGATCCTGTGGGCTCGTGAGACTCTGGAGCCAAAAGCGTGGCACCTGAGGGAAAGTTCCTTGGCCGATGTGGCAATGGAACCTTCAGCATAGCGCTGGTTTCATTGACTGTTGCCGCCGTGGCCGTGAGCTCTTCGGAAGGGGCTGGCGATGATTCAATCCTCTCTTGCGTAATGTCCTGCGCTTCTGCTGGCCCTTCGGATGCTTGCCAAAGCGGAAATTTTGGCACTAGCCGCGGCAGGGATTCATGTTGCTCAGCTGCCACATTGTTTTCATCCTCTGCGTCTGCCATCTGGGCTGATCCCGCTTCGTTTCGAGGTGTTGGGGGAGGCTCACTGAAGGACATGTCAGTGCTCCTTGCCGGCAGTGTGTGCCACAGTTCATGAGTCACCTTCATTGACACCTCTGCTGAAAGATCCAAAGCCTTGCCCTTGCGCTTGAAAGTCAAGTTGGGCACCGGGACCTGCCCCACCCTCCAAGTGGCTGTTCCCAGTTGCTCTGGCCTCGAGCTTTTGGACCTTGTTGCAAAAGCGGTGATCAGAAGCATCTGACCTTCATCCACGTCGTCGAGTGTAAGACCACTTGATAAATCCAGCTCCGGTCGGCTGTGGCCTGGGAACTCAACTTTGAGTGAGCTGACTGCCTTAAAGCCTCTGCTGGCCAGCTGGTCTTTGTTGAAATCAATTTTCTCGAAATGCACACGGACGTTCTCCTTATGACCATGGCTGAGGCTGATGCTTTTCAGCCGATCCGTCCACTTCGCCTCCATCTCCAGCTTCTGACAGAACATGACCAGCAGGAGCGATGATGCAAAAACTGTTGGGGCCAGAAAGGCAGTCTTAACAACATCTGCAACTGTGCTGATCATCCATCGTTCCGCATCAGTCGCGCTGACTACTGCCTCGCAGATATGACTGGGATGCTGCGACAAGCTCACATAGAGAACAAAAAACATATGGAACCCAAGGCTCCTATGCCCCTTCTCTTGCATCTAAGCAGCGAGAAAAAGGCAAGTCGTTACCAAACAGAACATGGCGTAGGCGACAGTGAAAGTTCGAAAGGTAATCCGTGCCGCTGACGAAGTCATCCCAACAGCCTTCTTGACTAGCATCAGGCAAAGCAGTGGCAATGATGCAAAGACTGCCGAAACCCACGCAACAGTAGTGCTCTGCACAAGCATCGCCCAAAACTCTTCCTGCGGCTCACAATCTGGATCCTGATCTGGTGCTGTTGACGTGGTTCCAAAGAAGAAAGCACATAGGGCCCATGTGCTGTAGAGCTTAGCAAACAATAGGAGGCAGCGGTCCAAGCTGGCCAGTTGCCAAGATGGAGCCAAGATATTAGTCCACCTGCAGAAGCCCGAGAAGAGAATCAAGAACTGATGCTTGCAAGAATCGCTGCGAAAGTGTTGGACTTCTTCATGCGCTTGCCGGTGCACCTGGGTCTTGCCAATACCTCTGTGCAGTTTCTCCAAGTACTTGGTGTTGACACCATACTTGTTCTGGATCACCAGTGAATATGTGTAGTCTGCAACCGATTTGAGGCCACTTCGCAAAAGCGTGCGGCACTGACCTATCATGCCCAACATCTGCATTATTTGCTCAAATGGGTTGAAGGCCTCTGCTTCGTGGCACTCATTTGCCCAGAGTTGCAGCCGCCTCATTTGGGCCTCATAGCGTCGATCAGCTAAGCGCGCTTTGTGTATCAGAAAGCATCCCAAAAGAAGAGTCGCCCAGTTGACCACCGCAGGCGGCTGCCAGGCCCAGGACGTTGACACAAGCGCCACCAAGGCGTCTTGCGAAAAGATCAGGGCTGCATTATTGCACGACAACGCTGCGAGCACCAACGAGAACACAGACAAGTGTGTCGTCAGGCACCGCGTGGACCGGTTCGTGACATCGACCATGGACACACCTTCCGTGGACCAGTCGTTCAGCTCCTCATCCCAAAAGACACATTTATTTCTCCGATGAAAAACTTTGGTGCTGAGTTCGATCTCTATTGGCTCGGGCAGCCTGCCTTTGAATGGTTTGCCGTCCAGGCCTGTAATTACAATGCTGATGACCTCGCCGGCAACCAGCAGAGCGTCACTGCCGGCCTCAAATGCCTTAAACTCATCAGTGGTGTCAGGATAAACCCCAAAGCTCACTGCAAGGGGGGCTGTGCCATTCTGCAGCTGCTTCAGGGTGTTTGGCGGTACGCTCACTGTACTTTCGCTGCGACCCACACGGGTGGACAAGCCACTAGAAGCATTTAACACCACCAAAGCCTTCGTAATCATAGTCAAGCCATTTGCAATCTCAATCTCTCGCTCCGCGAGTGTAGCAACGCCTGCTACTATGTCCACTTCAGAGAGATTGACTCGTCGCGCTGCTTCGACCAGATCGTCTATCACGGCTTCTTGCACATCAGCCATTTGAGAAGCTTGATTCGAGGCCTCAGCGGCAAACACCCGCGGATCGTTTCCAGTGTAGGTGGTGGTTGAAATGGAAGTAGACGTGGTACTCTGTGTTTTAGAAATACTTGTTGTGCTTGTGCTCGTGCTGGTGGAGCTTGTGGCACTGGTCGCCGATGTGCTGAAGCTTGTGGTACTGGAGCTTGTTATGCTGGAGCTCGAAGTGCTGGAGCTCGAGGTACTTGAGCTGGTGGTGGCGGAGCTCGTAGTGCTGGAGCGCGAAGTGCTGGAGCTTGAAGTGCTGGGGCTCGTAGTGCTGGAGCTTGTGGTGCTGGAGCTCGTAGTACTGGAGCTCGTAGTACTGGAGCTCGTAGTGCTGGAGCTCGTAGTGCTAGAGCTCGTAGTGCTAGAGTTCGTAGTGCTGGAGCTCGTAGTGCTGGAGCTCGTAGTGCTGGATGTCGTGAAGCTTGAGCTACTGGTGCTTGAGCTTGTGGTGCTAGAACTGCTGCTGAGCGTGCTAGTTGTGCTCGAAGTACTGCTTGTACTGGAAGAAGTGCTAGTTGTCGTCGTAGAAGTGGAGCTGCTAGTAGAGCTCGTGGTCTTGGTAGTGCTACTGGACGTTGTGGATGTCGAACTTGTGGTGCTGCTGGTGGCTGTGCTGGTGGAAGTGTTTGTGGTAGATGTGACAGTCGGTCCGGGTGGAGTCGGTGAAGGAGAGGGAGATGGGCTGGGGGACGGGCTGGGAGAGGGACTGGGGCCTTTTCTTGTCATGGTCTCATCCAGAGAAACGAACAAGGTGGAAGTGTTTCCATCAGACATCAGAGCACGATTGTGATTGAACCTGTTGCTAGGATGATTGTCAAAAAGTTGGGATTATTGATGCTATGCATCGGGAAAAAGTCAAATGCTGGCTTCTTCCAAGCAACATGTACTTCAGCACTTGGCGCGTTCTTTGGTCAGCAAATTCTTCCCAGCCCCAGGTAGCGAACCACACGGTGCCAGCACCAAGAGTTCCTTTGATGCAAGCGCAAGCTGACCAAGTTACATTGGCTTTGCAGTGGGTTGGAATACTAGCATGTGTTGTTACTGAACTGCTACTACATCTGCAATCGATCATTACCCGGCCCCTACGTCTTGCATCAATGTTGAGCGGTCAGTAAGCACTGCCACCTGTCAAACCACGCACAGACTGTCTAACAGGCATGTCTGAGTGAGATTCAACACAACCGGTGCGTGAATGCTGGCAGGGAGCGGTATGACAGGCTGTAGGAAGAGACACTCCAACCAGCAAGCCCAACAACGTGCGGAAACCTCGCGAAGTGGGGTGCGATGTGTTGAACAAGTTGAGCATGGACCTGTGTGCTCAGTTATAGACCTTTAAGATCAAGATGTGTTGCAGGGAAGGCCTCCGGTTCATGCCCACTGGTAACGTTCCATTTACATGCACATCCGGCGTGGTGCCAAGGGTTTAAAACACGCTTCTTTTGACCCACATACCAGCACGCAGCATGCCGCCAACATGCCAATGGAGGACCCGAGTGGGCCAGTAAAAGCTCCGATCACGCAGATTAGGGCCTGAACAGTCTACTTACCAGTCCAGCTCTCATCCAAGCAGCTCGGCAGTGGAAGGGCCGCACCCTGCTTCTGCCACGGCCGGATCTGATTGCCCATGACTTTCCACCAACGGGCGCCCATGTTTTTTCACCAATGTGCGCCACAAGTGATCACTTTTGTTGAACTTGTAATGTTCTGGAAAGCCTCGTCCATCACAGCTTCCGTGCCAAGTTCCCTTTGGGACTCTGGCCTCGAAGACGTTGGCGTAAACCACATGCGAGAAATGTCCTGCAACCACAATACCGCCCTGCTTGACGTATCGACGTACCAAGCTCCAATCATCTGGAGGCTGGTTTATCAAAAAAGCCAGCGTGAACCTATTGGGTTCGCAGCTGCGAGTGACCGGATTGTTGGTAAGCGAGCTGACATCCTTAGGCTACTCACATTGTAGCAGGACAAGGGTGATTGATGCACATGATTCATCATGATTCGCAATGGAAGGTTATGAACAAAGAGAACATAGCTAGTAAAGCACTGCTCTTCAGCCGTTGATCCCACCCAAGGGCACCACATTCCATGACCGTCGACCGTAGTCCGGTACAGCTGCTTAGTAGGCCAATCAGAAAGGGCAGTCTGAAGAACCTGCAAACCATCGGAGTTGCTCCGACTGCATCAGGCCGGCAGCAGCTGCTTCGCCATGCAATCTGCGCTAAGACAAGAAACCTCTGAAGTGTTTGAAGCTTTTCTCGAATGCATCACGTTACGTCAACTAGTGGCCTCGGTTGAGATCTGCTCAAGCGTGGTTCTGCCACAGCTCTGCTTATGCTTAGCTAAGTGTTTACCCGCTCTGGTAGGGCACGGGCACGGGCACGGGCTTGAGAATAGAGGCAAGGGCGGCCAGGGGTCAACTTTTCGCTGCAAATCGTCTCTAAGCTCAACCGCCCAGCTACAGGGCGCTCTCATGACGGGTTTCTTTTACTCAGGACTTCTAGCATCATCTGTGGGCAAAGAATGTGCCAGCAGGAACACGCATCGAGCAGGCTGGCAGCTTTGCAGCTTTGCGGCTTTGCAGCTTTGCTCTCATCACGAAACCCAGGCATCCTTCACATCTGCGTGGGAAGATCTGCTGCGGCGAGCGATTCGTGTATCACTCTTGCCCTGGTTCAAGCCTTACTTCCAAATGCTTCCACATCACACTTCCCATATTGATGGCAGACGCGGAAGTGCGAGCATTTCGACTGCTGGCTTGATATCTTCCACACTTACGCCTGACGCATCGCTTTCACCCACACTGACTTACCATACAGAGCTTCAACTAACTGATGCAGGTGTCTCTAAGCGCGCGCAAGACCACAGAATTTGCCAGGAGGCATGCTAAGGTACAGCTGCTTCTTGGCAACGTTGGCCTCCAACACCCGCACCTTGATCTTCATACCAACGTGGCTCTCCTGGAGAAAAGGCTCCTTGCAGTAGTTCGCAAAGATTTCACTCACCCACGCCAAGATGAACCCAACAATTGAGATCAATGCGGGCGGTTGACAAGATACTCAACGCAACCTGAATTCAGCTTGGTGCGCCCTCCAGCCACACTACAATTCACCAATCACCTGGCAGCTTACTCTAGGAGATCCCAAGGAGTCCGTGAAGTGCTCTTTCTTCAAAAGAGACCGGAAGTCGGTTTTCGTGGATGGCGCAGTCATCCTGAGCCCGCAAGGACCCGCAGGCTGGGACATGAAGGAACACACCATCTACGAACCGTCTTAGTTTCACTGCGACCTTCTGCCTCATGACTTGACTGCTGTGCTTGTGTGCTTGTGCAGGGCGGACGTGTGAGCAAGATTCCTTCCCTTCCGCCTGAATGGCAGGGGTCTCCAGCAAGCTGGCCCCATGCACGGACCATTCTTGTTTCACGGGGTAATTCTGAGAATGTGTGAGAAGTAAATTTAACTGAGGAGCCGCACCCATGCCCCTTTCGGGTACATGCCACAGACCTCTGCATCGACCCAGTCCTTGTCTCACGCGAGGGGGGGCCGCATGCTGCACGAACCAAGATTGAGGCATAAGTGCCATGTTGATGATTCACATGAGGCGGCCTGACTGGGCCTAACCTAACTTTTTGGCCTTGCTTGGCAACTTCGGCCAACTCTTCTCCAAGTCTTCTTCCCCGACGAACGGATCCTTTCGGGTCACGCTCTCAGGGCAGGCGGAAGAGTCATCCACGGGATCAAGGCTCGATGCGGAGCCGTTCATGTGCGGCATCTCGGCCAAATTGTCTGCCAGTGCAAATGGCTCTTCCTCAAATCTAAGCTTGGCAATGTCTTCTTCCTCTTGGGCGATGTCAGGTTCCAGCCACTCCATGGTTGTCTTGGGTGCTGGCTCTGCTGACACTGGCACACACATATCTTGTTGCTCAGGTGCAAACCATGGCATGGCATCCCACTGCTCTGTGAAATCCTGCGCGGGCGAAGGCCCCTCTTTCCAGGAGCTTTCGGTATAAGCACCATCTGCTGAAAACTGCGACGAGTCGTGTGTGAGGAGATCCTGTCAAGCAGAGCCAAGATGCTCGCATCAGACATGGGTAGTGTGCGCAGAATAGCTCTTCGTTGGGTAGCAAACATGTAAGGACCTTTACGCCTAACGCCGACTTCGTTTTCGGTGCGTCCTCCACCTGGATCTTGGCATCTTCCCCTTTCCTCTCTCCACCCCAGGTGGCTTCCTGGGCAACCCGGAAAAACTTGGCGACATTGCAGGGACTGCCCGTCCTATTGCCAGAAGAGATTGCTGATTTCTGCCTCCTTTTTTTTGCAAATGCTACTAGCTCGAAAAACTGGAAAACCCCGTAGCCCCGTATGCTGTGCAGGTTGCCGAGAATCTTGCAGCGCAAGCTTGGCCACCTCTGCCTCCTCTGCGGAATTGAATTGGAGCACGGAGGTCCGCTGGCCATATCCTGTCCCAGCCTCTAAGAAGCACAGGCCCTTGGTTGTGGTGAATCGCCGGAACATGATCAAGCAACTCATGCGGTCATGTGCTGTCGCTTGGAGCGGAGTGAAGCCAACAGAAAAACCTACGGGGACCGTTTCCTCTCTGGTTGGCACGGGCAGGGAGTCTCGCCGCACACTTGCGACCGGGCTGCTCTGCAACTGTCCTTACATTCAGACAGGGCGTGTCAAGCACTTGATCATGACCCTCCATTTATCCCAGCTCCGTTTATGCGGACGGCTTTTATGGAGTGACTAAAGCTGCTCAGCCAAGCATACGCAAATTGCGGAAGCTTACGGCCTTGGTGGATAATCATGGCACGATCTCGCACTTGCAGTTGAGGGATGCTGATTTTCTCTCTCACTCCGTTTTGAACCCATGCTAGGCTGGCGGCGTTTCATGGGACATGCTTCCACTGCGATGCTCTGCATCGACAAAAAAACGAAACACTCCGCTGACATTGAATGACGTACATCTAGTTACCATTGCTCAGCTGGCGATTGGCCCTCAATGTCAAGGCCCAGCATCGTACACCCGCAAGCGCCGCAGCACGTCGTAAATCGCACGCGCAGAAAAACCACGGGGAACGTTTGTCAACACCTGAGCTGGAATGGGATCCGAAGGCACACTATGCAAGACTGGTTCAGCAACGGCATTGCAACAGATATTTACGGCGTGATGACCAACCCTACGCGCGTGGGGAAAGAGGCATGTTGTTTGGAAAAGAGAACCGTTTCAGTATCATCTCCCTTCCAACAGCTTGGGCTTCAAGCTCTGCTGCAGCAGTCACATGACAAGGCTGCAACACTCCCTGCACAGGAGGCAAGCTTGTAGCCAGTACGCAACCAGAAGTGCAAGCCGAGCGGCTAATGCTGTCCTCTCACTGTCTGCCCCATCGGGCTGCCCACTCTGAACAGTCTCCTGTCCAGTGTGAAACTCATATGCCCTCTTTACCCACTCACGAGGCAACAGGCACAGAGCTCGCAACTGCTCTTTCCGTGCTCGACAAACGGCATTGAGACTCACGAATGCGGACCCAAGCTACAGCCTCACAAATTTGGAGAAGCTCTTGATCATCTTGATCAGACTCTCTCTCGCTCTCTCTCTCTGCATTCTGGCCTGCGTAAGATATGGGGCAGGGGCGTCATAGTCGTAGCTGTAAGGGAAGGCAGACCATCCTGGACGCCAGGTTGCCAAAGCCAGCCAAGCCAGCTATCAAAGAGAGACACAAAAAGAAGAAATTCGAACACTGACGTGCATCACTATCCGAAGCTGTGCAGTGGTAGTTCCGTGCATGTGCATGTCTTACATGGCTGCAGAAGCCTCAAGAAGCTAAGCGTGAGCTTCAGAAAATAGTTCAGCCTGATGAGGAGATTTGTCAGCCTCTGAAAATGCCCATCGTGTCTCGCAGCGGGGCGCAGCCAACGGTGATTTCCTAGCCCTGCTGCAGGAAACTGTTGCGGGCTGTCGTGCATGTTCTGCCCTTTCTCCGAAGAGCGGACTTTGCACTGCTAAATACTCTCACAGTTGATAAATACTTGGGGTGCAGGTCTCACAAACCCTCGATCATGCTTTTCATTTCTGATAGTCGGCAAGGCGAGCTGTGGCTGCAGCTACTGATTAACCCTCTGGGATCTGAAGCTGGCCCCGGCTGAGCGCTTGAAAACTGCAGCCAGGAGTCTGTACCACGACTCATCAAACCTGTCATCAGGCGTCTCGCGGCAGGTCTGTCACACCGGAAGCTCAAAGGCTTCGCATGGTCACAGAAACTCTCTTGACGGGGCACAGCATGGGCATCATGTCAGGCACCAGCCCATCAATTCCTCGGCAGGTTTGCCAAACATCGCTTATGCTGCCGGATCCTCGAGATGAGCTGCAGATCTAAAACCGAGCTTCCTGGGTCATCCATGTCATCTTCTTCAGGCAAGTCTTGCTGGTCGACTGCTTCACCCCTCAACATGCGAGAAAGAACCTCATCATCGGCCAGGCAACTAGATGAAACTACCAAGGCCCACAAGTCATGCTGGTGCGAAGCAATAGGCTTGCATCTTGCAAAATGGTAATAAAAGTCGGCCTTGCACTCTGGAAACCTTCAAATGAACGCCTTGAAGACTACTGGCTGCCAAGCTGCAGAAACTGCATTGCGATTTTGGTCAGGGTTGCTAGGCTTGTCGGCGCTGGGCGCCGTCGTCAACCTGAGCGAACCGCTCTATCAACTACGCTTCTTACCTCGCAACTTCTACTGCTAGAGCATTGCACAGCACGACGAAATACGCCCATGCCAGCAATCTGCTGCGAAGGACCTTGCTCAGCTAAGTTGCTCCTGTTCACCCACTTCCTTTGAGACGTCGCCAGGTAACCCGTCATCATGAAGCACCTGTCCTGGACTGGCATTGGACAAGTAAGCATGCGGACTTGCCTAGCCGATTTCTTCTGCAAACCATGGAAGTGGCCTGGACTGTGGTATCGCGGAGCATCATTACTGTACATTGCCTGATCTCCGGGACCAAAAAAACCGTCAGGCATCATGTCATAAGCCTCAACCGCGGCAAGGCAAGCGCGACTGCCCACAAGGCATGCATCAGCACGGCTGGCAAGCGAATGAAGGGCCAAGTCGCAGCAAGCCCGTAGGACCGGAACCTGGCAAAAACAGAGAAGCCCAACGCATGCGAGCGACATGATTTGTGTGTCAGACTGGCCGCGAGCAGGCCTACTCACACTCTAACCTCCTTTACTGCTGAAAGAGAGCATCCACCGTTCGCGCGCACGCCGTCGGTGTATGAGGGACTGTGTGTCAGGCTGCGTTCCTGTTGGGAGGCTTACCTCTTCCCTGCGCATATGGTCCATCATGGGGTCTTAGCCAGAGCAAGTGTCCTGGACGCGCAGCTGCATCCTCCATCAACTTGGCAAACCCACCTGACAAACAGGTGGCATTCCAGCAGCCCCACCCGGACCTTCGCTTATCCCCGCCTGGGGCCCAAGGGCAGCCATGCTCAACGAGGGCCTCAGCTGCCTCACGAGCCACCCATGGACGCTGACATGGCAGTCGCGCGTTGAAGACCTGCGTGCGGCCTGGGCGTTCAGATGCGCAATATGTGTGAACCATACCGCGGATCTGCAAGATCGCAACGAATGACGACATGATTTCAAACCAAGCTGCTGTAGTGTTGAAGATTAGCTTCCTCGCACTTGCATCACAGCAGCATGCAAGGCACTGGAATGCCATGACTGTCTGGCAACCCTTCCGACTGAGCTATGTTCACCCACATGCCTAGAGGAGGTGCAGTCTAGGAGAGCCTAGCAGCCCCTACCCAAACGTATCCAGTCATCCAATGCGTCCAAATGTCAAGACCCTGCAGATGCGCAACGGAAACAATGGCAGCCCTGCGGCGGTTGTAGGGCTGCCTCCGGAAAAAACAATGCTTCATTATCATGTCAAGTTCAGGAATGCAGCACAGCTTTGACTCACGATAGAGATGGCCCTCTGAAGTAGTAGCCACGCAGTTTCTCCATACCTCAAAGCTCATCAGGCTGCGCAACCGCGTGATGTGATAACAGAATCGCCCTGGGGAGCCCACATCTCATGCATGCGTCTTCTGTGCAAAAATTCACGAAGGCGTACCCGACGTTGTTCTTCGTCGATGTGTCAATGGGCAAATACAAAAAGTCAAAGGAGCCTCCGCAGTTGAGACACGAGTCGATTTGGAACTGCTAATCACGAGGAGTACCCATTTGCAGATGGCAGCGCCGTGCTGCAAAATGGCGAGGTATGAAGGAAGTGGCTGGTGCCAGATCGAACGCTCCGCAATACTCAGCGAGCGAACCCAAGAATCACAAGAGACACCTATCAAATCCTACCCGTCCCTTTCACAAAGAGGCACCCTCAAAACCAAGGCTTGCCAGTTCTTCCATCAACGTCTCGCGATCCTTGGCGATGATCCCCACAGATTGGCAAGGCAACACAAAGAACTTGCTTTTGCTGCTTTAGTTCTTCAACGTGAATAGCCAGCCCCGCCAAGAAAGCCTTGGTCAGTGCTGTTCATATCAAGCTTCATACGCGTTGGGGACGTTCCGCAACATCAGGGTTGTGACCTTCTTTGCGTCACCTGCTGCAGAACAAACATGTCACGCAGCAAAACGCACCTCCGAAGACTGAAGACCAGCACGTTGTTTTTGCACAGGCTATGGCTACGCGACCTTTCTCGAACTGCTCCTTGAGATTGGCTCGCTTTGGCACCTTGCAACAGCTTGCACCGCGTTCAAAAAAGGCTCACAGCTGTAGAAGGCAGCTTTCAAGTCTGGCATCTGCCTGTCCGTGGCGGCGGCCGATGAAGCCATCAGGGCCATCTTCGTAGCTTCCCCACAGCGCCTTGCGGGGTGTTTCTTACTGCCTGCTCCCACTGGTGATCTATTGAACGCTGAGGGCCACAGCAACATCAGCAGCTCGACCCATGAAGATACAAGAGCAACTTCAAGTTTGCGTTGGCTCTCTGAAAGCGCGTAGGTTATCAGAAATGCTCAGCCGCTCAACTACTTCATGTTGCTTGGAATGGGCGCAGTGCTTGCAGCAAGCAACTTGGAGTATGCTGTGCAACGGTTAGTCAAAACACCGGATTGAAGAAGTTGTCCCCATACCAGCCATCACCATCTTCACCAAACCTCGGCAGACTGGAGCAAATTCCAAGGGTTTGATCTGCTGCACATAAAAGTTCTGCATATGCGCGGCCCAGCAGCCACAGGTCCGGTGGGAAGGCATCTTGTAAATCCGCTTCGGTGCGCTGCTCCGGAAACCTGATATCGCTGTATGGGTGAGAACTTCACGTCAGGGTCCGTTTTGCACTGGGCTGCCCGTGGGCCGACGGCAGATTATCCTACTCGAGTTGCTCCAGGGAGCCAAGTGTCGGCCCCGGGCCATTCCCAGGGTGGTGCGCCAAACGCAGGCGCTGGCTCACCCCAATCTGCAGGGAGTTCTAAATCCTGGGCACGATTTACTTGACACTGTGCTCCACACGCCTCCAGTCTGCCCGAAATGCCTCAAGCACCCGGTGTCCTCCGCACGGCTTTCCGGCTTTGCCGGCTCTGCCTCTTCGGACTTCCAATCTGCTGGCTCCCGCACCTTGGGAGTCACCGCTTCTCAGCTCGCTCCTGCAATACTCCTAGTAACCTTCTTCCAAGGATCTTCCTCAAGTTGGGATCTCACTTCCTCATCTTTCCTCACAACTTCACCTGCGGCCTAAGCTAAAAGCATTCAGAAAAGATGGCGCATGATGCCAGTCTTGTCACCTTACCCTCCCTGCAGAATGAACTGGGCAAGCCAGGCATCTGTGGAGCCATGCCAAGCTGACCATCCGGCTCGGGGTGCCTATCGGCATGCACACAAATGAGGCCAGTCAACTGCCACAAGAAGTGAGAGATGGCATGTTGTCCCTGCAACTGACATGCTCGCCAGAAGCATTAAGTTGCGCGAGCCTTTCGCACCCAGTCCCGAGGCATTGCACATGAAAACTCTTCATCTAAACTTGATCCCGCTAACTGCGGAAACATGCAAGAAGCCCTCACTATTTCAGGGAAAGGAGTCGCAAAAGAAGCAGCAGTAATAGTAGTCGTCACTGTGAGAGTATGCAAGTCCTCAAGTTCGCC